ATCAACCGTGGTTTCGATATCGACGACAGGTGCACTTGCCCAGAGATCGTTCTCGAAGACTTTTCACAAAACTCTTGGAACGAAGATGAGGTCTGTCGGTCTATATGTGGGGCGCTGCTGCCTGGAGCTAAATTTTTCGAGATGTTCCCCGGTGTGCCGAGGACTTCCGAAGGTGCACGGATATAATAATGCCGCCGCTTCAGTTGCCTCTCCGATCGCGTAGAGCTACCATTGCCGAATCGCTACTTCTGCCACACGCTCTTGACCCCGAAGACGGTTGCTGCCGCCGCTGCGGCGAGAGTTACTCAGGGAACGTTTAGGAGGCCCCGTGGTGGCATCTAAGAAAAATCGCAAACAACCGTTGTCTTGAGAAATGAGCTCATCGGTTAACGCGGCGGCTCCGAAATTTCAACTATCAAGAGCCAAGATGATCGAGAGCTCTCCACCGTTTGAAGTCCAAGAGCGAGTCAGAAGGTCCGACAGCATCTTAAGAGTGCTCGTCAAGCGCACAAAAGTTTTCTGCCGGATTTCTTGACAGCCTGAGCATATGCGATGAGTCCATAGCGTCGCAGACACCTCCACAGCCGCTCAATTCTCTGGATATTACCGGGCTCGAATTGATCAGGACGTCGGATCGGGGCGCAGATCGGAGCCCGTTCTAATATGAGGGAAGTCTTCTTTGTCAAACCGGGAATCCCTCTGATTAGACATTTTGCTCGAAATTTCCGAGAAAGTCCCGAGCCAGGTACTCCCTGGCGGAGGATATACTCGAAGACGCCTGATAATATTCTTTCCGAGTGAGTCAGGTATCGCCTGACGGAGGAAATCACGGGCATATTGTGGTCATTTTAAGTAGACGTCGTTTTCGGACGCAGTACTCGAGTCTTTCAAGATGCGACTTGTCCATGCGATTCCGAGGCTGTGGCGTGCAGATTCACCTGCGTTACAATTGCAGAAGTGTCTTCATGCGGATACTCTCGCCTTCATAGAATTATACATGGCAGAGGTTTCGATTCACGAGCAAAACACCGGACAATTGCGGGGGAATGATAAGCAGCGCGAAAAAGGGAATCTGTTCGGTTCCAAAGAAATCCAGATGATGACAGCGTTCCAGCGGCAGACTTGAGTTTCTGCGAAGATGCACGGAAGGCGGATTGAAACGCCACATCAAATGGTCAACAACACGCTATCCGATCGTAGACCATGAAGAATATCTGAGCTGGATGCGTGTGTGCCCATCCAGTGTAATAAACTCCGCATTCGAAACAAGAATCACGAGCAATCATCAATTATGATGGAGCGTCATCTATCATCACCATCAGCACAATCATCGTTCATTATCTTCATTCTATGCATCGATGGCGAGCGACACGCAGCCGACGCGGTCCGAGCTGATGATCAGAACTCGAATTCCCCGTACCGCACCAGCCACAGCGGCAACTCCGGCTTCAATCGCAGAGACTCAGTCTCAAGAGCGAATCGTGAATCCAGAAACATGCTCGCAAGAAATTGTCTTGACAACCTCGTCCCGAAGAGCCACCGAAACAATCGTTGACGCGGCCCCAAAGACGTCGCCGAAAGTATCTGGCTGTAAATAATGTGTAACCACTAGAGAGAATAGCGATCATCTCCGTGTAGAATTTCGGGGGCGGATCTTTCCAGGCGTTCGAGGGTCTCGTTTTCTTCGTTTCCCCCTATTCTTAGGATTCCCAGAAACATTTGAGAACTTTGTTCGTGCGACGTTTGAGTCGACCTTCGGAAAGCCAGTGACCTGAGCTGGTCCCTCAGAATAAGGAATCCTTATCGGCGAATTCGGTAGCCACAATTTCTGGAGAATCGTATCCGTACCGTATATACGAAAGTCGATCAAGGATCCACCCGGAACCCTCGCCTCGTGTTTCCGCCTCTGTCGGTACTCGTTCCCTGAAATCGCCCTGACTGGGACATCGAGAGGTAGACCCTGGATGCGAGGTCTTCGAACGTTCACTCGATGAGGCATGTTCGGCGCTTTGCCATCAGTCTTTTGAGCACTCAAGTATACACCGCAAAAGTGACTTCTATCAGCGAGGTTTCTAAATGGAAGCGAGGAGACGTGACGTCAATCGGTGGACGGCTCCCTCTTCATCTGATGTCGAATTTCGCTCGTGGGATCGCATCTAATTTCCCAGCCGCCGCATTCGTCGTTTCTTCTGATCTGGATCTTAATTCGCCGGGTCTCTTCTGAGCGACATGCTGAGGCTGCTGCTTTCTGATCCAAGTACGTTCCTTCAGCTTCCAGAGAGTTCGTCGAGCGACAGACTCTGTAGGGTGCTCCTGAATCCGGAACCAAATCCTTCGAAAGCGCTCGCAACTGACGCTGTCGGAGGCGGTAGCTCTCAGCTCTCGGCCTCGATGAGTTTGGCACGGCGAGGTCCATTCTGGGAATGCTCCCATCGAATAGGCTGAGGCTGGACTTTGTCCCCGGTTTGCGGGCTCGAATGTAACGTTATTCCCGCAGCTAGGAATTTACGAAGCTTCGGAACTCCATAAAACGCATTTTCGAAGCACAGCCCAGGGAAGAGCTACACCCATGTGACGCGCAATCATTTAGGACGACCTCGGCGCTTGACGCGGATTCTGGGAAGACTAGGGTCCAACCTTCGGAGCGAAGCATATCCAAAACTTTGGAAAGGGAAAATACAAACTCAGGCGGGATAAGGGATCGTCTTTCAAAATCGACAGTTTACACATCGGGGATGTTTTGACGTTTCGGAACTTCCCCGAAAAACACCGAGCTTCGACAACGACTATGATGTCTAGTGAGAAGAACGGCTTCAGGAATCCGGTCCGATTGCCGGAGTCTCGCCGGTCCCATGATAAGCACGGCGATCAGCAAAATCACTCCGTCGGTATTCGATCCCGGCTTTTCTAACGGGTCTTCCCCGAGGACGCGCTTCTACGCTCACGATTTTCTGTGCGATGTCCTTGGTGACATCATCACATCTTGGACTGGAAGGGGGGGGGCGGGGGGAGCTCGTCCTGAGCGGTTGAATTGCTCCGTCTGACGCGGAGCTCGGAGGAAAGGCCCGAGAGCGACTGCTCTCAGCCGATACCTTCAGCGATCAATTCGATTTCGTGAACAACAATGGTGGCGGCTGGGCTGGGTCCAAGTCATCATGAACATCCCGAATTTTCGAGCATGACCCAGAAATAATGACGATGAGACCTCTGTCCAGTGCTGCCGCCTCGGGAAACGGTCCGGGAGTTCACCTATCTGGAGTCCAATTCATCGAATCAAGAGGGCAGCCCCACAGAAAAACCGAGAACGCAATTAGAGTGGCGTCCCTGATAATTTATTCTGTGACGTGACCAGATCAGCTGATACCGTCTTTTTCCTCCCGAGATCATGTATACCCGCCCGGCAATCGACGGGAGATGGTCTCAAGGTACTGTCTCTGCCATAACAGTTTATATGTTACAACAATGGCCGCAGTCCGCCAGAAAATACAACAGATACTTTCCCCAATGATTTGTGGCTGTGCGAGGATCGACCGTGCCAAATGCCCTTACGATCGAGTCGTTGGCGATATATTTGACAAAGTTTTGACACAGGAATAAATCTGTGCTGAGGGAGATATTTATGGCATCGACGCAGAGTCGAATCGAATCGCGGAGCGCTCCCTCTACAACTTCGTGACTGGGAACAAGGAGTCATTCAATTCAGTCAGTGATCCTCTTCCGCACCGGAGTCAAACGCACAGACAAATGAACGGTATGCGAAGTCTGGCCCGAATCAAGGGCTCAGCCCGAAGACCTGAAACGGGCTTCACCCAGCATCGATAATCGGCAGAGTTCCTGTATCCAAGTTTCCCTCGAGCTGAAGAGAGACGACACCGATCAGACTGTTTACAAAAAGGCGGATTGACCAGACGAAGTGAGATCATGGCTGTTCCCCTGAATCAATGAATAGACGCTAAGGAATCATTCGCATATTCTTGTTGTACAACAAGGATCGAAGGGTGATTAACATGTTGAAGTGATGCCAGTTCCAACGTCTGTCAGAGCGCGGCTCGTTGAGTAGGTGCGTTTCTCCGGAACGAGTATTTGAATTAACGAATTCTATGGAGAGACGACTTTGATCAATGACCATCTGCCGTCCAACGACAGACTTTGATTTACCGTCTTCGATGAGGAGCGCGGAACCAATGAAGCGAAAAACTCGCACGCTTTGTGCCTCGACAAAGTTCTATTAGTTTGTATCTTTCGCGAAAACGTGTTTTTATTACGTAGATACCAAGATAGGATAATTGTACGGAATTAGACATCCTGCCCGCAATGTTGGACATGTAATCATCGAATACACTCAAGCTGGGATTGATTCAATTTCTCCTCCACCGAGATCAATCCCCCGACCTATAGCATGAGCGATCACAATACTTGACCGAGGAGCTTCGCAAAGCAGATCCTGATGAAGATACCCGATTTGTTCTTACGCTGTGGATCCTGCAAGGCTGATGGCGCAGTATGTGATTTTCCAGGAGAAAACGACATTTTCATGGGTGCGTTCCGTCACGAGAGCAAGTCTAGAGATGCTAATCGGAGCGTCGCGTCTCTTATCGTGCGGAGTCCGCCTTCCCCGGTGGAAGAGATCTCATGCTGCTCCGTGCTCCGTGTAGGCAAATCAGAAACTGAGACTTTGCCTTTCTATTCGGGAACATGGTCTCACGGTCTGAAGCCCGGTAAACTCGTATCACGTCGGAACCCTCAAGTCGAGGACAACATATTTCTTTCTCGTGTACGGCCCATATGCCTCGCCTATATTCATATCGTATCTTCAATAAACACGGAAGCTGGACACAGGGAAGTAGACCCTGTTCTGCCCTGATCGAGCAGCGTAGACGTCACGAGCGAACGCCTGTAGAGCGACATCCTTGATCGAAAACTCGCCATCTATGGGGGGACACGGAAATCATCGGGTATAGATTTTATTTCGCTATTTGGGCATCCGTGGGATATCGGGTTCAATGGGGACTGCTCTTGGTATGAGATCCGAGTGCGATGGCGGCATGTTGGCTCTCGAGAAGTTTCCCGAGGGAACTCGTCGCGGGAAGCCCCTTCAGACAGCGGCCGTAGAGATCCTCCGAATCATTCGCCAGAGCCCACATTCCTGATTCGAGGTAGACAGATGTAAATGATCGTTGAAGTGAATAAGCGCCGATGCCGATTTGCGACGAGGAAACTGACCTGTCAAGAAGAGTCCTGCTTCTGAGCGGTGATCCGTCTTGAGTAGAGAGGTCGCCTTCGATAAGAAGGTTTTGTCGATTTTCTTCTCCTCCATCAGAAATAGGAGCTTCGAGCAGACCTCCGAGGCTTTATTCGCTTTGCTAGGAGCGAATTTCGAGGGCCCACCTGGTATCGGCAGGAATGGCCATCGATGGAACAATTAGAAGCATATTCGAGGAGAGCATTCACAGGGATCATGGTGACCTGCGTGCTATCCTGGACGCCAGACTTCTCGAGTCTGGATCCTCCTTGTTGCAGCGTTTAATCATTCCATGTCAGGATAGTTCCCTCTAACCCGAGAGAAGTGGATTCCTATGACTCACCTTTGCTCAGAACGTTATCGAGATCCTTGACGTTGTCGTACAGATCAACCCAAAAACCTGTCGGTGAGTCTTGCATCATGATTATGACGTTCCGCTTCTCTATCGATAAACAAGCCCACTTGAAGAGCAGCCAGTGCTCTACTCTGTCGGGGAATTGTCTCACTAGTTTCGACGCTGCTCGATAAGCATTCCTTTTCCTGGAAAATCGAGGGTCAGAAAATAAGCATATCTCGTGCATTTCGTTCATTGAGCAGCGAGAGTCACCGGGAGAGAGAGGATCGCCAAGGTTCCGAAACTGTACGCGAGGACACTCAGGACTGACCTGCCGGCCATCAAGGCCGCCACTACGATGAGTCGGAGACTCTCCCGCTGATAAGAAGTTTTTATGAACTCTGTCAGCCGCAAGGACGTCTCAAATTTCCCTTCTCCCAAGAGGCACTCCGATAAGCGTCTCCAAGCATCGTCTTGTCGGGGATCTCTTCGCAGCTGTTTCTGCAAGCTTTTCTTCCTTCCCTGTGAAAACGTGGTCGTCGATGAGATCCTTGGCAAATACTGACCCAGCGCCCAGGACATCCATGATAAGTCCGGGCGAGTCGGAGATAGAGGAAGGGTCCGATGCTGATAATATACCGAGTCTTACCTGAAGCGTCTCAGATTTATATAGAACTTCCTTTAGTTTTGGTTCTAGCTCCACAGCTTCCTCACGTCGATGAGATTCTAGGGCGATGTAAGCTCTCAATCGTTGTTTTTCAGGGCCAGGTAGATCTCCAGAACAAATCGAAGAAGCTTCATCGATTCCGCCGTCTCTCAGGAGGGCCTGGGCGAACATAACTTTGCATTCGGGGTTCTGACACCGAGAGATAACCCGTCGCGCTTCGACCGTCAGTCCGTGAGAAAGGAGCACGTAGCCTGAACAGTCATTCGAGGATTAGTGATGACACATACGTACACTCTGATCCAGTTTTCGCCGAAGCGCGATCAATACTTCGTACACAAAAGACAGCTGGGAGGTCAGGAACTCAGGCTTACCTATAGCCGCGCAAGCCGGATGCTCCTTCTTGCAATGCAGGGCCCGTTCGCAAGCAAACAAGAGCTCCTCTGTAGCCTGACCTTGCATCGCGAGATTACATATTATTGCGTGGATAGTTGGTTTCACCACGTTAGAATGTCTGTATAAGTCGCAGGCGTCGAAATGGCCGACGGTAGCGGCCAGCGTAGCCTGACCGAGCCAACATTCTACGTAGAGTGGATCGGCGGCCTGGGCCTTCGAGAAACACTGATTGGCTTCTTTAAGGAGATTTTTCTTGATGTAGAGGAATCCAAGGTTGGCCCAGGAGGGCGCATGATCCGGATCGATGTTGAGGGCTCGAATGAAGGCCGATTGGCATACTTGCACTGAGCTCCCAGCTCGAATGGAGACGACGCCCAACGCGTTCCAAAGGTTTGGGTTCTTCGCGTCGAGCTTTATCGCACGTTTCAAGCAAGTAATCCTGCAGAGAGGTCAGGGAACTTTGTATCATTCCGGAATACCCAGCTAGCAGCCTCCCAAGTGAAGACATCTGCTCGTGATAATAGACCGTAGGCACGGGGGATGTGATGGACAGCGAAGGCAGCGACCATCGGTCTACTCATTCCTGGAGCCCGAATCATCCATTCGAAAACCTGCTTACGAATCCGGGCTGCGGGAATGTCAGCGAGCTTCGTCTGATCTGGGGTACTCGAACCGCAATCGGATTCCGATGAACTCACCCGCGATCGAACTGGTGCTTGTAGACGTATACCAATGCCAGGTTGTGCCACACACTGCCGAGATTGGGATTTAGGGAGATGCAACGCAGGTAAGTGTTTTCGGCGAGCGAAACAAGTTGCATATCTTTGATGTCAACGTCCCCCTCTGATAGACCGAACAAGGTGCGCGATTTCATGTCGACGGGGGCGCGAATCTGCATACCGATATATTCGCTCAGACACTAATCGAATACTTCCGAATAATTTTTTTTTCGTAAGAATTCATCCACGTCGAAATACCTTGAGGTTATGGACTCTCGCCGTAAGCAGAACGTCCCCGAGTAGGCTCCAAAGGCTAACGAGATCGCTGCGCCCGGAACAAATCGACGTGGCTGCACTCAGAAGAGCCTTATTGAGCAGAAGTGACGCTGGCTCCAAAAGAACCTCCCTCAGACGGATACCGGCTAGCAGTAGACAACATTGACCCAAATCGTGGGCGCTGATGATCAAATTCGGATCCATTTCCAGAGCGGATTCAAAGAGTGATATGGCCTCCTCGTATTGCTCCTGATCTCGAGTCACGCACGCCAATCTGGAGCAAAACATTCCGAATGCCACAAATGGTCCCGATGAGCCCCGTTAAGTCTATGGGGATTAGCCATCGTCGCGAAAAACTCACCGGTAAGTTATGAAAGCTTCTCGGACCGTTCCCGTCTCGATGCTTTTCCGATAACAGAGGACGGCGGCTGCTAAACTTTTGCGAGAGGCATAAGCCTCCGCTAGAAGTTCCCAATTGAAAGACGATGGTTTGAAGGAGGCGAGCTTCTGGAGGAGCGCAACAGCATTCGACGGGGTCCCTATCTCTAAATAATGGATGCCCAGCTCGGCGAACGCCCAATGATTCCCATCGTGGATGACCCCGTCAGATGTGACTGGAGGGAATTATCGTTTTACACTATGGGCGCGAGGAACGCGATCAGACGCAGAACGGAGAAATCGAAGAGGGGCCTGTCGAAGTACCCAGGTGATTGGAATGTGGCCTACTTACTTGATTCCAGTAGAACCCGATTCTCGTCGTGTCTCTTCAGAGCTCGCAGCGCGCGACTCAAGGCTTTCCCAGTCCGGGATGAGTTTCGGTTCAGGACGAAGCTCTGCTGTAAACATTTCGAAGCATTCTCTGGGTGTCCCGATTGCAAGTATATCTCTCCAAGGAGCGTCAGGACCTCCGTGTTTTTCGGGTTTTGGCCAAGAGCGGCCGAAGCGATTTTCAGCGCGTCATTGTGGCGTTTTTTGAACTGAAACATGAGAGTTATCTGCTTCACAAGCCTGATGCTGAAGGTAACGGCACATCGCTGCGGAGGCAACTTCGCCCCGGGAGAATCCATCAGGGAGCCATCGCTCGTGAGTCGAGTTCCCGAAGTCCTACCCACCAGCAGATAAGAAGCAGCAGTCGGCATTCCGACCTCGCTCAGCTCCGCATTGGAGAGGCTTAGATCTTCATTCAAAGCCATACGAGCTCTCAGAGCCCACATCTTGTCGTTGATTCCAAGCGACTCCTTCAGAGCATCAGCAGCCCGTCCGGACTCGATCAGGCTCCGAAGCCGTAATGAGTTGTCACGTGGAGCTCCCAAGGTTTCCGCCTTCGCGAACAGAATGAGAGCTTCCCGATGTCTGTCTTGCTCGTACAAAGCTCGAGCCAAGATGGTAAGAATATCTGGAAGAGGAAGTGCTCTCCAAACTCAAGAATATTACTCCGTAGATCAACGTAACATTGAGGCGAAAGAGGAATGCACTCGTACCCGCGGCGTTTGATTTACAGTTCTTCAAGGCCACTTTGCTGTGAGTCTCCACGTCCCGGAAGCGACCCGCCTCCAGGAGGCCGGTGAGAAGCATCTTCCAGACTTCGAAGTTCTGAGGATTCGTTTTGATTATTGTTTGGCAAGCTGCCTCCAACTTCGAAACGTCTCCACACAGCAGTGAAAGTTTAGCCTGGAAACAAATCAGTGAGGAGAATGTGAGAGTCGGATGTTCCTTTGAGGAAAGCGTGACTGGGATGAAATAGAGGATTGATGAGCGCTTGGTTGAAGTGAGGCACTCTTAGCCGACCTTGGCGGTTGCGAATTCCATCGAAGAGTTTGGGTTCGCATCGAATAGCTCCGCGAGATCCTTCAAAGCGATGACAGCCAGGCCGGATTTTATGAAGATGTGCACGCTCAGCTCGTTCTGATGCGCCTCCGAGATCAAAGTTCTCGCAACCGCGAATTCAGTTGCACACTCGGAAGCCTCCAGCCTAGCGAAATATTCGAGGAAGAGGTTTTTCTGCGGAAAAGTATGGGAGTCGAAAGTTCTTCCCCGAATCCTTGTGTCGATACCCCGCAACGATCCGTTTCCGATCGTAGTTAGGAACGCACCCTCGTATCATCTTCGATCCCCGGTAGGAACGAGATTTTCCTCAAAACCTCCAAGTCCGTTTTGAGGCAATCCCTCTGAACCAACGAAGCTGCCGCCCTTGCTGATCTCTGCTGAACCATGCTGTCGGTATCCGCTTCCTCCACACATTCGCCTGGAGTGAGACCATAGGGTAGTTGGGGGAAGCGCGGACGAATCTTGGAAGGGCGAAATTTCCAGGGAAAGTAAGGTAGATGGGGAGGAACAAATGAGGAAAATACATCGATTAGGTTGGTCTGATGAACTTCCGGCGAAGCCTCCAGCTTACGTAATAGGGTCCAGTCATTGGTCAATTCGGCTTTCTCTATATTCAGCAGGACACGATTCTTCGCGTTGAAGTTGAACTCTAAGGCTTTATCCAGCGCCTTCAGATATAGCTCGTCATCAAGACCAGGGTATTTCCGGAATAAGCGAAGCAGTCCCTGCCATGGAGCTTCTTGATCTGGTTTGACTTCAGCTGCGCGTACAAGTGCTTTCAACGCTTTCTTAGAGAGATCTGCAAAGTCTCGGGCTCGGTGAGTATTCAGGCCAAAAAATCGATGTCTATTCCGAAGATGACACGTCGATCTCTCTCAATCGTCTCTGGCGGGTATCGCGTAGAAGGAGTGTTATCCTCGGAGAGTTTATCCGAGTTCTCCAGTCAAAGCGCGCGTACTCCAGACTTCCTCACCTGCATGGGTAGCCGCTGTTGCGGCAGCACCCAGTATCAAGAGTGCCGTGAAGTGGTCTGGTTCTTCCCGGAGAACACTCTCGCATGATTCGATGGCCCTGTCGCTTTCCCCGAGATCGAGCGCCTGACGAGCCTCTTTGAGTAGAGCTTTGCTACCCATGTCTGCGTGCTGTATGTCGTGTCATCTGCCAGACGTAGAAAGTTACGATGGGTATTCCGGTGTATGATGCGCCCGTGTATTTCCAACTTCAGGGAAAGCTTCGAATCAAATTCCAGGACTCGAAAGTTTCCAGAGTCAATGATTGAAGAGGGTAGGGAAGCAGCCCCGGAACTCCGCGCCCAAATCGAGGAATTGAAAGTCTAAAACTCGCGAGAAGTAATGAGCGATCGTGAATTCTCTCATCAACCGGCCTGAGGTGAGAGATGGAATCTGCGACGACCGAGCCACTCGCTCCTCTAATTCTCTTCTTTCGACATCGATGGAAAAATCGTCAATGATCGACATGGAGTCCTATAGTTTCATAACTGCTAGAACATGAACACGGTGAGCTTACAAAAGAGGTTCCCTCAGACAACTCGAATAGAATCACGGGCGAAATTCTCTCGACAAGAACCCAAAAGTACTTCACTTTTCCTCTCCGTATCCCGTTTCTCCACTCTTTGGAACCGGCTGAATGTTGTTGACAAGCCATGTCAGTAGCGGAGCCGCCGACGAAGAACCGTGGCGCGTTCATAGGAGACCAAACTTACCGAATGATATAATCATATCGTACGGTACCAAAAAAAGCTGGGATGATTTCCGATCTGAATCAGGTCGCTTGACTCCCAAGTCCGGATTCGGGTATCTGCCAGCTTTCATTGTGTCGATGTCTGACTGAGTAGAAGTGGTCATTGCCACTGACAGAATTATTGCTCTCCATGTTTTGTGGGCATGTCATGGACGGTCACTCGGAATTTTTTCAATACCTCACTATCACTGAACTTTGCGGGATCCTCCTTCGTATGAGTATATTGGAAGGAGATTCAGTGGTCCCGAGTATATGTATGTACAATATGTAAATGCAAAATTTCTCTCAACCAGAGAGTGGGTTTATGGCTTTGCAGCCCTTGGCACGACGCGGAGGATGGAAACGACCGTCAAATGGGGTTCACACCTGACGTTGTTTTCTGTCGTTAATATCGCAGCCCTGTTCGTTATACTACGGAGGACCACAGCGCAGACACGGGTAGCTCTTTTGGGGAAATGTGGACGGTCACTCTACGATAGCCGGGCTAATCCTCATACATTGTCAGGATTCAACAGACGGGCTTGATTCGATGTAAGAGATGCGGGCCCCTTCTCGCCGGCTGAGACTCTGGTCGGGCTTGCCGTTTTCAATACCAACTTCGTCAGGTTCCAAGGGTCTTCTTTCGAATGACCTTATTTCTCATGGCTGCGCGAGGATTCTTCAGCGAACGCGAGAGGGAAACGAACCCGAAAGGATACGGTGGCCGAAATGGCAGGTTTGGGAATGAAACGTAGGCTTCAACCACCTTCCAGTTGATAAAGTAGAATCTCTGAGACCCGCCCCCATTGGAAATGAGGCGGATTCTGGGCAATCATATGTGCAATCCGAAGTGCCGAACATTGGGAGCTTCAGGGTCATAGGCAGCAATATGAAGGTTCTTTTCACATATGCGGAACAAGAGGGAACATTTATTAGATCTTACCTTCACGTCAAATAACTTCGCCTTGGGCCCCAGAATTTCGATGCATGAAAAGCAAGGCACCGTACAAATACGGGATCTCCATCCTCCATGTCCGGGGCAAGTACATTCGGGAACCGGAGAGACACAGGCCAACTGTTTCTCAGAGGGAGTTCGGAGACTGATCTTCCGAGAGAAGTATGATCGCGGGGCGCGCTTGGGGCGCACCACCGTGATGAGTTACCAAGTCCCTTGTCTGTTGATTCGGTATCGATATCGGGCGCAGGAGATACTTGCTTCATCCTCCTCGGAGAAAAATCCCAGGGTCCGGGAAAAAGTTAAATATGAAGCACGGGACGGACTAGAGAGCGTGACTTCCGTCTTGTTTCGACACCCGCCCCGTGAACTCTTCCTCAATATTGTACATACGAAAAAGAGGGAATGGATGATCCGAAATGATTTAAGATTTTTGGATTATCCTTCCCCGCTGTCTCGCCTCAGCCTGATTCGAGAAGAATCATGCGCTACGACTCCCTAGAGTCCGGGAAGTGCTCGACGCCGCGCTGTTTGGGCTCACGATTTCCCGACCGTTTTCGCCTGAAACCACCGCTTGGCTCGTTGCACGCGTTGGCGCGGCGCTCCGCGCGAAACATAGTCGCTGCTGAGGGTGGGAAAAGGGGCAGTTCATCCAAAGCCCCAAGATCTACGTGGACAGCTCGATCAGATTGAACCGCAAGCCGCGCGTTGGACTGAGGACTTGAGCCTCGGGAAACTTCATCAGTCCATCGGGGAAGCGCTGCAAGATCGACTGAGCCGTTGGCGGAGAGATAGACAACTATCGTACTCGCTTACAAGATTTCCCAATCAACGGCGGCAGGGATGACGAATCCACTGAAAAGCCGTATCTGTGCATCGCTCGTCGCGCAGTCTAATCTTCCATTTGAGACTCTGTCGCATCCCAGCCTCGAGCAAATATCCCCATGGGCCAAGCTTGGCGCCATGAATAAGTTGAAATCGCTCGGAATATCTTCGATGTCGAATGGGAGGGAGCCGCCACAGCCACAAGGACAGATCTCGGAACGCTCAAAGTGAAGGCGCGGTGTTCAAGCCGTTCGCCGACGAGTGGAGTTGGCTGCGAGAACGTTTCGTTTGCCTTACCCTGCGCTCAAGCATCCCGATCCCATCTCTCGCATCTCCTCACCAGGATCTAATGGCGAAATTCCGCGGTGAATCTGCGGCTAAGGTGCTCAAGAAAAACATACGGAATTCGCTCGAAGCGTTTGATCTAGAGCTGAGCGATATACGAGGCTTCACATCGGTCCTCTTGTACACAATGATGGAGAAAGGTGATAGCCAGCGAGCTGAAAAACCAGCCGTTTTATCATCAGACGTGTTTCGCTCATGGCATCTATCTGGCGCCGAATGCGACATTGATTGGGAAGGATTCTCGGAGGACGATGAAGGAGAGATCTTCGAGACTTATTACAAGAGGCGGCGGGCAGCGATGAGGGACGTCGTCCATGGGATGGAATGAGAAGCGTTAGGTCGATCTTCCTTAACTACTTCAGAAACCATCCGGAATACGATCAGCTCAAGCGGATCCCCTCCCGGAATGGAACGACATCTCTCCCAGACATCCCTGGTCGCTGGAGAGGCACTCTCAAGATGCTCGGAGATTTCAAGAAATCCCTTCCGGTGCCGCGTAGTTTCTACCAAGGACATTGCAAAGTCTTCTCGGTCTCGAGCGTCGAGATCGAGAACCTCGAGGTGATTCTCTCAGCACTGAAGCTCGCCAAGAGGAGCATAGAGATATCATCAGAGGACACGTCCACTCGGCGTCCAATCTCCGAGGTAGATGCGGTCTGCGATCGGCCCCTCCTTATCGAAGCCCTCGATCGCTTGCATCACCGAGCTGACACTCGGTGGATCAACATTGACGGGTACTCGTGTGCGAAGATTTCGATCGCGGGTCAACCAGCGATTCGGATGTTGCGCTGCGGCACACCATGACGAGACACAGTGTTCTGGAACCTTCGGATATTCACGTCACTCGCCGCGAAGCACGGGATACTCTCGACCCATGGAGCGCAGTGTCGGCGAAAGGAAGCTGAGTGTGCTTCCCGCCTCGAGGGAGACCCGAACCGGAACCCGAAGTCAACCGACCGTTGACAACATGAGCCTTTGCCATCAGTGGGGGAGTCTCTCGATTCGATGCGATTGCCCTGCAAACTTCAAGGATGGCTGCTTTCGTCGTGACTTTGCTCTCGTCGTGCATTGACGTATAATGTTAGCGTGATGCCAATTCGAGCTCGGTGGTCGCGCGCCACGACAGTCAGTTGGAGAGGCAAGTTGGAATCTAAAGCGTCGATCACACCGACTCTGAACAAGAAGAATCTTTCGACCACAGGGATGTCGGCCGCACACTATGACGATCTTCGCTCACTGGTACGGCGGAAAAAGCTCGCTCACGGCCTGAACTTCGCATCTGTGGCCGAATGGTTCTCTGACACAACAGCTGTGATGGTGCTATTCGGACGACGTCGGCTCCCTCGGCTCAGTCAACGACGATCATTGTCCGACGCATCCTCGGATCTCGCGGCCTCATCCAGGTACTCATTGTCATTCCAATTTCGTTTTTTCTCCGGAGAAACTCGATTCGCTTTTGCGCCTCAATCGCAGTCTTCTCCATTATCGGTATGGTCGGATCTCGGATCAGCTGAGTGAGACTACTCGGGGCTTGTTGATGTTGTGCCCGCCAGTTGTCTGCTTCGGCGGCGCAGTGCTGGCTGCTGCTGTTCTACCAAAACAAGTGAAGGCGTTGTTTTCACGGCGTGACAGTTATCCGTGAGACGCAGCCTAAAGACAGTCGGCATGAATTGGAGCTCGGCCGAGCCGAACGAAAACGGCTTGCTCTACGTGGGATTCAACCAGGACCAGGGATGTTTCGCATGCGGAACGGAATCCGGTTTCAGAGTGTACAACACCGACCCTCTGGACAAGAAGCAGAAAGAGGATTTCCTCGATGGCGGCATCGGCTACATCGAGATGCTCTTCAGGTGTAATTACCTGGCTCTTGTCGGCGGCGGAAAACGGCCGCGTTATCCACCCAACAAGGTTATGATCTGGGATGACGAACGCAAACAGATCGTCATAGAGTTGGCTTTCCAGACAAATGTGCGCGGAGTTCGCCTACGGCGCGACCGGATTGTGGTTGTGCTCGACACTGTGATCAAGGTTTATACATTCACCCAGACCCCTCAGCAGCTGCACGTCTTTGAAACGAGTCCCAACGAGCGAGGGCTCTGTGTGCTGTGTCCATCGTCTTCAAACTCGCTTTTAGCTTTTCCCGGCAGGAAGCAGGGACAAGTGCAACTCATAAATCTCGCACAGACCGAACAAGCCCCTCTCGACATACAGGCGCACGATTCACCGCTCAGCTGCATCGCTCTGAACACGCAGGGCACGCTACTTGCGTCCGCATCGGAAAAGGGAACTTTGATCCGCGTGTTCGATACGCAGAGCGGGACACTGCTACATGAAGTTCGTCGGGGAGCGAACAACGCGACTATCTACTGTATAAACTTCAATTATAACAGCTCGATGCTCTGCGTATCCAGTGATCATGGGACCGTGCATATCTTCTCATTGGAGAGCGTCGAACAGCAGCGGAAAACGAGCAAATCGTCCTTGACGTCTGCCGTACTCCCGAAATACTTCAGCTCGAAATGGAGCGACGCCAAATTTCAGGTATGCTCGGATACGTTTCACAAATTGAACACGTTTGAGCTATTAAAATAGGTCGCTCCCCTCTACCGGGACTAGGTCGGGCCCTGGATGAGTCCTGTCGCGGGACTGTCTGCAGACGATCTTGAAACGGATGGGACGGAGTTCGGACACGAAATGGCCGGCAGGGTGATCCGGAGCGATGCAAATGCATGTTTGTTGTTTCGGCAATCATTCACGTACAGTCGTTCTTTCAAACTAATGAATCCTTCCGGAAAGGGATCCCATTTGGTGGTCCACAAGTAGATACTAATCGTAGCGCGGAGTATCTCTCGTTGGGTAATCAAAGCCGTCCAAACACCATTTGAGTTACCGAAAACCGGCTTGCTATTGTTTACTCGAATCAGGGAGCGATTGTCCGCTCTCGACAGCTTGGTAAAGCCCCTAGACTCCTGATCGTCGTTCGAACGATCGGTTCTGGGCAGAGCCCGAGATTGGTAGTGATTATAGGTGCGCCGGGTCTTCCCGGCAAAGATTCCGTCACTCTCGGAATCAGCGTTGAGGGCATCCGGAGTAATCCGATATGAGTAGAGAATGGATGACTCCACACGTAGGGTGAAAGTCCGATATATCTCGGCGTGAGACACGTCGTTGAGTGTCCCCTCCGAAAAGTTGGGATTCCTCTCTTAACCCTCGCTTTTTCAACTTACAGGTGCCGGATGGCTCTCATAGCATTTGCTCATTCGGTGTGGATGGGAACTCTGTGATTGCCATCTGCGCAGATGGCTCGTACCACAAGTTTGCGCTGAACATCAAGCAGGAATGCAGTCGAGTGTTTTACACGCAGTTTCTTGATTTATAATGTGTAAACGAGTGTGTGATGTTTAGGATGAGCACAATAGCGCTCGAAACACTCTTTCGCAACGCAAGAATCGTTATGCAGGCATGTTTCGAGCCGGGTAATAGATTTTTTATAGACTCCGAACGAATTTCCACAAGCGGGAGGCGTCGGGGAGGGAGGGTCGTATAATTGGGACAACTGAAGAAATGGAATTTCGCAGAGATCCGAAAGAGTGCGATTGTATATACGAGGGAGCGAAACGGAACGAGGGCGAACGTTATTATATGCTAATAAACGTCTGAACTCGCTGAGAGGAATTTTAAAGGAACAATGTATCATGGGAGCAACTCGGACGGAACGTGAATTCGGTCGACCCAATAAATTATTAATTACCGTTTGTGGCTGAACGTCTGGCTAAACGCAACTCTTGACTTTCCAACACTAGTATCACCCTCACCCTACTCTTTTTCGAGATCGGCTCGCGATTCTCGGCCTCGATCCTTCGCTCAACTGTGGAGAACTTCCATACGCTCCTCCAGCTGATGGAGCGATCCAGGGGAACTAACACGGCGGAACCTGGGGTGAGAATCACCTCCAAAACGGGACTTCCTGACGTATCCATGGCATTTTCATCTGGACGCCGACCATTCGAGAACCTCGAAGGGACAATTCGATTTTTTTTCCGTATTTTCCGCGGGCGGTCCTATCAGGAAGGTGATTATCGTGGTTGGCGTCTCCTTAACACCGGAGGAATTCTAATCCTATGAGAGCTCGTATGAGCGAAATATATGCTCGATTTCATCCTGAGTTCTCCAGAGTCGAATATAAGATCTGCAGATTTTCAGATCATGCCATGACCTAGTGAAAACAGGATTTCTGTTTTCGAGAAGAAGCCTCCTTGGTTATCCGTGTATCACAATAGAACTCGATGCATATATTCCCGAGCTGGGGAAGATAACAATTATTTCTGAAGAGAAAACGAACTCGCCAGAATACGAAGTTCTGCGTGGAGTGAGCCGCCAAACCCTTCCATCAAGCAGGCTCTCGTCTCTCAGGAGAAATGCCTGAGTCCCATCGCCGAGGCGACAAGAAAGGCCGCCGGAGGAGTCATGATAAACAGCGGGCGGCAGCCGAAGTCAATCAGATATCGCAATCCTCTGAGGAGATCCAAGTTACCCCGTCAGCAGCCGCAGTATCCGCGGTGCCGGACTTGAAGGACATAATTAACGTTCCTCCGCCACCACAATTCACAGCGGTAAGGATTTCTTCCCCCACAATGTCTAGATTCGCTGAGAGCTAAGAATATGTCTCCACCGATTGAGTGACGCCTTCTGGGCACTATGTCAATAGGAATCGTTGGCCGCGAAGAGCTCGATGATCAGAGGAGCCCAACAACCGACACCTCGACTTTTGCGACCGTCCGCCGATGTATGTAATGACACTTACCAGGAACATTACCTGGGATCGACTCCTCATTTAGCTCCAACACCCGCAATGGATCCTAATCTGGTACCACCTCTGGGTCCAGCGCTCGCACCGGGGATGAATCCCATGATGGGTTCAGCGCCTGGAATGCCGCATCAGCAAATGTACAATCCGGGTCAATATTGGCCGCCTCAATGATATATTCCGACCCAACAAATACAATAATTAATTCCTTTCTTTGGTCCGGATGTGCGGTTCTTGGACATTTCGAGACCCTTATTCCATCTCGGATCGATCGATTTATCGAGCAAAGATCCGGCGGCTCTCAAGGAACTCTTTCCGGAGTGGAAAATTCATTATCCGACCGCGAACCGAGAAGCAGCGGGGACCCAACCGTCCCACCGGCTGACCGCTTCCATTCCCAGTCTGCGCGAGCATCCCAGTATTAGTATTGGTACCGTGTTCGTCAATAATCCGGCTCCGGTGCGCTCGACGAGGGGGACACCTGGAATGCGGTGAGGGGCTGGCGGATAGACGCAAGTCCTCCTTCGACACAGGGGGTGAGGGCAGTCGGCTCTCGCGACCCTCGGAGGGGGCGGGGCAATCGTCCCATCGTACGCATTCGCTGCTGCTACTCCTTGGGTCCTCGCCGTTTCCGACGTTTTTCGCAGGCGCCGAGCGCATGGGCGCTTGCCGGGCGTAGAATTGAGAGGGATTCTCCTGCGGACGCTCCTGTTCTCCAAATTGTTTTGAGCATGTTCTGGAACCGGAACATGGATAAAGTTCCGTGATCTGTGCTTAAGACGCGCATGAAGACATCTTTCCGCGGGAACTTCGTCATTTCACCCCCGCTCACCTAAACTCATTGGAGTCGCACCGATTGCCCGAGGTCGGCGTCAAGCTTAAGAGCGGGAGATCAACACGGTGTACCAGCGAAATTACCGACGTACACGGAGTCCCGCGTTGGGCGGATGAGTCGGTAGAGAACTTTCACGAGTCATGGGCGGACGAGTCGGCAGAGAACTTTCACGAGACATGGGCGGCTGCCGATCCTGAGAACCGCAGAGCATCCCCAGGATGCTCATCTGAGGCTAGAATGGTATTCTGGGTGAGATGACCGTAGATTCCGAAAGATTCGCCTCTCCCTATTGCAGCCCCTGGCGAAACCGCGGAGATATCCGATTGGGCCCCATTGAAGCGTGATTCAAAGTGGGCGTGCACATTTCCAGCAATGGGCCAAGCATTACGCGATACGCGAGACACCTAGGCCGTCTGGGGGACAATGAACCGCCGTGAATGACGGCTTCGCTTCGCACTCGGCAGTCCTTCAGGATACGACCCAGAAAAATCGGCAATCGGTCTTGAGCATATCAAATCATACCTAATTGTCTCGCTTCTCAGAATGCTGAGAGATCCTGGGACCAATTAGGTATCTCTGCGTCAGGTCGGAGCTCTTCTGAGTTCGAGGCGCTCTCTCAGGAGCTCGCTCTCATTCTCTGAACTATGCCGGTACTTAAGCAACATCCTCGGCTCAGAAATCCGCTCTTAGCCGCCGAAGTTGTTCTCGTCTTATTCTTTTTCTCTGGTTCTTGAGGGATCGACGCCCTCAGTCCCATAAAATCGGAATCCATCGACATCTAGCATTTTTCAATGTGTGTTTTAAACAAGCGTCCCGATGATCTCGAGCCCCGTGTAGTGGAGGGCGACGACGAAATCGACGACGAAATCGACGATGAGCCTCAGCCAGCTCCACGAGACAATGAAGCGGTCGGAGAAGAAGACGAAGGACTCCTTGCTGATCCCTCAGCCTCATACAGCGATTTCGAATGCGATGAGCCTGCAGTGGATGACATCGAATTCCCTTGCTATAGCGGATCTTATCAATTTCCCCGCCCTTCGCCCACGGAGGTCCCCAGATTCCCGTGCAATAGCGGAGAGCTTCAGTTGCCCTGCCGATCTTCGACGGATGACACCGAACTCCCGGGTCACAGCGGGGCGTTTCAGATGCCCTCCGGATCGTCGAGTTTGGAAGCAATGGAGAACAGCGACAGTGAAATCGAAGACCCGGACCCGGAGCATCCGAACCCGTTCAAGAAGAAACGCGTTCGGAGGCACTGCCCTCCCAATACCCTAGCGCCCGTGGATTCGCAGGACGCTCCAGGGGAAGCCGATCCAACACGACGGATTACGCTCAAACGCACGTGCACGAGATCTGACGACGCCGATCTTCCCCCGGTGAAACTTCTAGGAATGCGGGGAAAGGTTCCGAAAGAGGTCCGAGAAGAAAAACCGCGTATACCGTGGAGCGAGCTCAAGAAAAACATCGATTCCCTCGTAGGAAGAGTCAGTGCCTCGAACGTGAAAGAAACCGTAGCGGAACTCTACCAGGAGGACCTCGTACGTGGATGTTTCGTACTCGCCCGGTCCATCATGCAGTATCAGGCTTCCTCGATGGCGTCCACGCACGTGTACGCAGCGCTGATTGCCGTAATCAATTCAAAGTTCAAGGAAGTCGGAGCGTTGATCCAGAGAATGATAATTCTGCGCTTCAAGATCAGCTTGCGTGAGGCGGACAAGTTCATGTGCATCGCGACGGCGAAATTCATCGCTCATCTCGTGAATCAACAAGTCGCTGATATACTTTGCGCTTTCGAATTCCTGAGCTTGCTTCTGAAGAACCCGACTGACGACTCGATCGAGGTTGCGATCGTTTTGCTATCAGAGGCGGGACAAAAACTGATTGAATCATCTCCGAGATGCGTCGACGCAGTAATAGCGAAGCTGCGACACCTCATTTTCAGGGGCAACCTGGATATCATGAGCCAGCACCTGATTGAACTCGTGGTCATAGCTCACGAGAACGGCTTCAAGATCCATCCCACGATCATCCCGGAACTCGACCTCGTTAAGAATAAGCATCGATACACTCACGTGATCATACCGGGACAAGTCATAGACGACAATGAGCGTCTGAACAAGTTCATTCTGGACTCTCGATTCGAAGACGACGAGGGAACTTATCACGAAATTTACGAAATTATCCGCAGGAGCGCTCCGCAAATCGAGGAGGAATCTTCGTCCTGTGACTACGATTCGGATGAAGGAGAGCCCACACCGAGAGCTTTACCCAAGTGGTCGCACTTTGAAGAATGTTTGAGTAACTTGAGGACCTTACGAACCCCGGGGGAAGAACCGCGGTTCTCACGCTACATGAGGCGCCGTTGATGGTCTCCGTAGAGACCGTTCGAGGTGGCTCTCTGCATTGCTCGTTCGACACTTCCGCCTCATTCAAAGAAACTCCTAGAAGCCCCTCTGAGGCATGTATGTCAAGCCCGATGAAATTGTGTGTGGCTTGGAGACGAATAAATTCGACTGAAATAACGAAACTTCCCGAGAAGTGAATATCTTGAAGATCTTTAAGTCGGAACGATTACAATAGCGAGGATTTGGATCGAAAACGCAAGATTCATTTCGTACTGTGGGTCGGATGAGATCAGGTCTGAGATCCGTTTCCCCAGGGAGCTCTCGATGGGCAATCGTCGAGACTTCCATCCGGGAGCATGATATTCGCCTGGAATTGTGTATTGATGACGTAGAAGTCCATGGGAAGATTCTGGGGTCCGTCTTGAGGGCTAGAAAACACCGTGGCCAAGCCACCGCTCCCGCGTCCCGGGTCTCCCCTCTCACCGATGGTGGAGTGTACAGCTGAAAAAAACTTATCCTTTCCCACAAGAGCGTGAATCTTAAAGAGTTTCGAAGTTTACTCTCCTTGTCCTCCAAAATGACTGATACGTTCGACCAGTATGGGTGCATCTGACGGCTCGCAAGTTTGATGTGATTCGATGATTCGAGATTTCTCGTCATTCTCGGTCAGTCTCATGACATAGAATCGAAACCGATACTCGGAGAGGAAATTTCCGCGCTGGTCTAGTCACGAAGATGTGAATCCGATGCCTTCCTGTGGATGGACCATTTTCTTCCGAATATTTCAGAAGTAACACGCCGGAGGAGCCTCCTGGGGCGCCACGCAATCCGTCCCAATCTTTTCAGTCCCCGTTTCTGAGTGATGAACTGCGGGTTCGAAAGATGTCGTCACCCTCGACCTCGACACAGTCGTGGCCGAAATGAGCCGGCGGTTGACGGGGGCGGAAATCTTCATCGTTCTTCTAGAGGGCAGCAGCGCAGCGGTACTCAGAAGAGCAAACGAAAAAAAATCCGGAAGGTCTCGAGTCGAGCTGTTCGCTAGAGAAGAAACTCGGTCTCGACGACCTGGATATCTTTCTCTGTCTGTTCGGAACCGATGCGGCTCATAGTCCGTCGCACGAAAAATCGACTTCCGATAAATACGATGTCCCGGGAACTGTGCCCCCCACGAGCGGCTTTCTCTCCTCGATATTGATTTGGCAAGACAACGATCACCTCCCAGAAGCTTCTTGGAATACCGCGCTCGATCCGAGGCACGGTTGGCAGTTCTAGGAAACTACACGGAATTTTCTCTCGACGCTGAATGTATCATCGCCATTCACGTTCGAGAATCGAGAGCTGCTGTCGTGTACCGGGACGCTATTCGAAATAAACGGAGTCCATCAGTTAGCATCTCAAACGTCAAGGAGTGCCGGCGCTGGAGCGCGGAGCCAGGCGGGGTGAGGAGCTTGGTCTCAGATCACCGGATCCCCGATATAAGAAATTCTCCCGCTGCCCCTTCCCGAATGATTTTCGGAGCTTAGTTTCATGGAAACCTTTTGACGGATGGACAGAGAAAAGGAGGCTTAGTTAGCAGACAGAGCCACCGGAGAGGAGGAAGCGGCAAGAGGAGCGGGCTTTACTGGAAGTGACTAAAAGAAGGGAAGAGTTGTTTATATCGAACAGTTCATCCAGACGTCTTTGACGTCACTCCATAGAAGCTCTGAAGGATAGCGGGATAAACAGCTAGCGGCGCGGCGGTCATCAGGCGGTCCGCGACACCCGACGATGTGCCGCTCGGACAGGCTGTGGCGGCGGCCCGTCATCCCAATGAAATGTCACTCAACTTGTTTCGATACTATTTCTTCAGGGAAGGAGAGCGAAATAGCCTGAAACTTTCTGTCGGAATCCCCGGTAAAATCGAGAGAGGATTCATCTCGAGTTCTCACCTGTCCGTCAATCTGAATTCGCCCCGCGAGAGTTTCATATGTGACAAAAGGGAATGCCTCAGACGCTCACTTTTGCGAGAGGTTTCTAGGATAAACCGTCTAGGAGAGAACACCTCGGTCACTCAAAGGAACGCGGAAGTGTTGGCGTTATTTACAGCGCGGGAACGATTCGAGGAACTTGGGGAAATGAAGGAAGAACTATTTCCGTTGTATCAAATGAGTTCGACGGAACTTATCTGGCATTAACAATATCGGTCGTTTACATCTCCGGTGGCCTAATTCAGTGAAAAAGGTACGTATCAACCTAATGAATGATCTCATAAAAATCCTGTCCGTTAAACACGGGTCGTCGAGAGCGTCGAAGAACGGGCTGCGAGTCTTTGCGCCCGAATGAGGAATCTGGGCCACCTTGCCGTCCTGAGCAATGTACTGACAAGGGGAAAATAATGAGGACCTCTCCGTTGAGCACTCATACATTCACTCAGCCGGGATCTCGACTGGGATCGGCAGAATCCTGCGCAGACTCTCGCTCTTCATACAGTCCTTCCCGAAACGGGTACCGGACATTAGAGGTTACGAACAAGAGGAGCGACTCGGCAGTCGAACGGAGCCTCTGACACCGTGAACGATGTGTCTGAACGACATTCGTTCAAGCGTTCGTTCGAGAATTCATTCGAGCCAGTGGGCGGATGGATGCACGTTCGGAGCTCCCTCCGATACCGTGAGATGACATGCGATTATTTGCGCAACCCGATGCGCTGAGGTGACTCGCTTCTACGGATTCTCGCGCGGTCCCGGAGGTCAGCCCAGAGCCTCGGGTCTCTTCATCTTACTAGCTGGCGATATTTTAACATAAACATGGGTCTAAATACAGAAATCGAAGAAAAAGGAGGAGAACAAGCCAGCGTGAATACAAGCGAATATTTATATCTATATGTATATTAAGTCCGTGAGACATCAGACTGGGACGCCGCCCGCGCGCAAACGCTTCTCACGAAATGGATCCCCTGGAACAACGGAGAATCAGCAGCTGCCTCGCGTGCATAGAGCGAGTCTCTCTCAATCTCCCCGTGTCTGACTGCTGTCGGCCCAATAGACCCTTTCCCTGAAAGCTCGGGTTCCTTGTGAACTCTTCAGTCTCGCTGGTTTTCGTTTGTGAACTGAACTCGGCTTCGAACATGGAAATCTGTCGTTACAGTCCCGTGCGACGAAGCTGGTGCCGCCACCGAACGCGTGCCGCCGTTGTTTGCTAATTATAAGAGGAATCAACGCCGGAATGTACGTCGCATCCGCAACGGAAACATGAGCACAGCAGAGCACAGCCGTGGACCGGCCGGGCGCAGCGGTTCTCCGCTGAGACCAGCGTCTTTCATAAGAACTTCTTCCGGAACGTACGTTATCACCGGCTGCGAACGGAGTCCACGTTTCGTCGTTGTGAATCCGATGCATGTCATGACGCTGTCGAGGAGATCGTTGGGAGTCAAACTGGCTCAACGCTTCCAGCACGCGTCCCAGAAATGGTTCACGCACGTCATTCTGCTTTCGGTGTTGATGTGTTACTGTATGGCAGGCGCCGTCGTGTTCAAAATAATTGAGGGACCTTATGAAGGCTCAATCAAGAATAGCGTGGTCGAGGTCCGACAAACCATCATCGACCAAATCTACAGGTGAGGACGAGAGGAGCTCGCTTCGGGATCTTTCGAAGACACTTCCGTTCAGGTCGTCATATTTTCGGAGCTTGTTCTCATCTGATAGCGACCCGAGAATTCTGGGTATGCTCAGTGATGGCGAGGACGCCATTAGCTGGTCGAAGATATGAAAGACGGGAATATGATGACGGAAACTCTCTCCTTGACATATGTATTGGGCCTTCTTTCGACGAGATACGTCGCTCAATGCCGGCGGAGAATTCTATGACTGGGAATATGAATGAGATGTGATCTACGCTATCGTCATGAAACGGACCAGTCTGAAAACAACCAGGCGAAGACGGATTTAACCAATGGGAGCGCAGAAAGCCTCGAGCACCAGCCCGAGAATTCTGATGAATCAACTGGCCGTCTACGCCCAGTGTCCGCGATGATAAAGATTCGAATTTATGATTGTTATCAAACAGAGTCACTAGGCGGAGTTCAGGCTCGGAGCTCTGGAAGACTTAACTTACGAGGCACTCATTCTCCGTAGTCAGCGAATGGCAAGGTCAACCGATGAATGAGTGGTTGACAGACTCGCAGACTTTCGAAAATGCGAATCTTCGGCTCACTGTCTGCGCCGGAGCCATGAATAGAACTCGGATACCGACCTACATGAGGGTAGCTTAATTGAAACAAGTTCATCGCTTTCAGGAATCTCACGAGGACTTCTGGCTGTGCTTGTCCTGAGTCGCGAGCGTGGAAGGTGTTCGCGACAGAGCGGATGAAAGATTATCAAGAGCAGCTGCTAGCAATGTGGAAAGCCGGGGTCAAAAGCTCCCCGGAGAAGAGGATGTGGACTTTTTGGGGATCGATGTTCTACTGTGGCACTGTTTTCACCACGATAGGTCAGTGTGGGAATTGGTCAAAAAGCATGACAAACAAATTCCGATTATCAGTACTCCATGCAGAAGTCCTCCGGGCACGAGATTCCCCCCCGGGATCGAGCCTCTCAATGGAATGATTCATCAAGCAACGCCAAACGAAAGTGTTGACAAGCTCCTCTCCCATGATGGATAGCGAGTTGTTTTCCATACGTTGACCATCGATCATTATTCCCACGAAACGTGCCAGGCACTGATTCATTCTGCGGCCGGCGGAGGGAGTCTCCGGTGACTGCGCCGTTCGCGTCGGCTTGTCGCTCAAGTGACACTTGCTCAGGGTGTTCAGGGTTCTTCTGTATTTACTCAAAGTTCAAGCTGGGATGACGTCTACACTCGTCGGCTATCGAGATGACACACTGTCGCATTATCGGCTCTCTCCTTGATCGACCTTAACCGATTTCTTCCCAAGACCGACTGGAGGACCGCCAAAGATTGAAAGGCGTTTGCGCTGTCAGTGAGAGGGTTAGCTGGACACGGGAGACGAATCGAATGCTTCTCGGTAGGGTAATCGACGATAACTATTTTTGACATTGGGAAAGTATCACTTGTTAAGCTCTCGATCGGTTACAAGAAAAGAAGGAGGCCTATCACGCCTCAGAACCTTCACCGATTAGGGAATGTATTGCGTGGCAGCGCGGTATCATGCCAAAGTGGACCCGATTTTCTATTCTCAGTCGGAGTGATGGGAAGAACGCTCTTTTCCCCGATCCATGTAAGGGATCCAGGGTTCCTCCCTGCCTGGAGGAATCCCCGGGCAGACTCCACTCGGGGAGTCATTTCGTATGATTGAGGTGTCGCCTGGGAGGCCTGGGAACGATTCTTGAATGAATCTCGGATAACTCGATGGTGGAAATGCTATCGTGGAGTGAATTTCCATTGATCTTATCCATAATATCCGCAGATTTTCTCGAGACGATTCCCGATGAAAAGTTTCCTCCGTGGACTCCGCCCGGGTAGAGGTCTTCGGGTTGCCATATAGCTACATTGAGAAATTATCTTACTTGATCGATATTCTCCGGGAGTAGCGATTCCATCCCGAGTGCAATCATGACGTTCGGCTTGGTTGTGAGGAGAAATTATTGATACGGTGAAGAATCAGCGAGACGGCCGCGCCGAATACCTTCGGGTCGAACGTTGCGGAAAGATCGCGAACCCGGCATAGATGACTCCGTTCGATGTATTATTATGTATCTGGATCCTCAGATATCCGTATTTTTTCCGTCCGAATTCGTCGCCGGAGGGCATCTCCAATCATCCAGCTTGCTGTCACCGAAAATAGATAGAGCGGGATTTCGATTCCGTTTCGAAAAGTTGTGAGCTCAACGCGCAATCTCCCCTCTGTTTGTGGCGGGGGTTGCCTTCGATTCGATTTGTGTAACCGATCCTCGGAATTCCCGGAAAACCTGAGGGGAGGGTATCCCACGAATTGCTGTTCCCTCGTTCCTGGGTCCCATTCAATGAAGTCCCAGAGCTCACGGAGATTCGCCGGGTATATGCTGAAAGCATCGAATTTGACTGGGTAATATCATAGCTGTTCGAATGATGATAGGGCTGCGCCGGAAAGCCAACCGGCGTCGATCGGAAGAAGCGGAGACCTTCCCGTCCTGACAAGACGGTCTCGACGCTCGAGAACGATTTCCGGACGACATAGTAGCCTTTCAAAATATGAACACAATGCTCTCGTTGAGATGATAACAAAACTGTTGATCCAGCAACACGGGGCAGCCTGTGGAGGCTTACTACCGAGAGTCTCGCCCTCTTCCTCGGGAATCGCTATACATTTTAGGGAAAGGGAGCGTCGCCACGGGGAACTACAAAAGATGAGACCGTTTTAGGCAGAGATTATTTCTCGATCAGCGACCTGCTGGCAGCGAATGAGGAATACTTGCTTCGAGTACAAGTCACCCTTCAACGATGAAGGTCTTCGAACAAGACGAGCTGCCGCTCTTCCATGAAGACGTTTCGGGCAACTTCGGGCTCATCGTCAAGACGAAGCTGTCTTCTCATCGGACAGTTGACGAAGTCGTCGTGAAGAAATTCCCGAGCAAGGGAAACTTCAATGAAGTCCAATACGAGCTGGACAAACTGGACGTCGTGGATCACCCGAACATCCTGCGCGTTCACGGCCTGGTACAGTTCAAGGAAGAGTTCGGTCTGCTCGTCCAGCCTGTTCAAGGATTCAAACTGTCCGAGATACTCTACCAGCACCAGTCGGCCAGCATGTGCCGCAGACTCCGTTGGATCCAGGGCATCATATCAGGATTACATGCGCTGCACGACGCCCAGCTCGTGCACGGCAATCTCACCCCAGAGTGCATTTTCTTCCGCACGGAGCACGCCGTCGAGCCTGTTATTGCAGAATACGGGATGACCCGATTCTACGAGCGCTACATTCCCGGTTGGGAGCTCAACCGGCGGTACGCGGCTCCCGAGGTTTCGAGCGCCGAGACTTGCAGCGCGAAAACCGATATCTACTCATTGGGTCTGCTGCTGTGGCAAATCGTCTCCTTGCAGAGACTCCCCGAGTGCAAGCTGCCCTGTCTCAAATACGTATCCAATCCACGACAGAAAGCCATTCTGGAACTCTGCTGGAGCACATGTCCAGTCCAGAGGCCTGAGCTCGCGGAAATCGCTGACGCTTTCGGGACGTGTTGACTTTCGCCATAGCGATACGGGAACGTGCTTGTACATACATATTCGACTCGGGGATCTTCCACCTGATGTCGACTGTTGTTCATTGATAATAAAGTAAAAATGTTTATTTTGTAAAATATCCGAGTGCTTCAATCTCGACGATTCCTATCGTGGCTTGGGCACAAGTCGAATTTTCTGCTCATAACGGGTCTCGCCGGAAATATAGTTCTCTCCCGGCTCGCTGAGAATCCCGTTTCGCAGCTCGCAGATCTCAACGCGCCGACCACCGGACCGTCCGGGCTGGTTGCTCGATCGCGAATAGAATGTCGTCGGGAGGAAGCTTCACCTGCAAGAATGGCAGTCTAAACGGCTGTCAATTCGAACGGCTTGAGTCAGCCTCTCCAAAGAGCGAGTGTCAACATTACAAATAGGATGTGACGATCGATCGATGCGTGGCATTCGACGCAGCAAGAAAGCCATGGAAGGCTACGCTCGACATCTCGTCAACGCGTCGATTCGTCAATAGGTCATATTTACACCGAGGGACTTATGCATTGCATATGAAGCGATTCTGGGAAGTCTCGGCTGATCGGGTTGTATGGACTGAATATAAACTCGAGGGGGTTCCGATGCCGGTTCTCGACCGGAACCTTCCCCTCGGATTCTCGATGGCAGGTCAACTCGTGAATCGAAGGCTTCGACCTCACTGTGTTCCATTCCAGGTTATGGGAACATTGCACCGAGCACCGGGGCAGGCCGGATCGCAACGATCCTCTACGCTTCGATCGGCATCCCTCTTCTGCTGACGGTCTTGGCTGATCTGGGGAAACTTTTCACCAGAGTTATGAAGCTGGCCTTTCGATGGATTCAGAAGTTCTATGAAACAGACGAAGTTCGATACATCCGTCAGAAAAGCCAGGAAGCAGCCAAGACTCCCAAGCAGGTAGGTCGCACCGCATTTTTTTATCTCGATACGAATTCCCCCCGATGAGGGTCACTCAATACCCGCGGCTTATGATGGGCTACTGCCAGTAAGTCCGTTGCGAGCCCTTGCCTGAGTCACTGACGAAAATAGGAGTTTTCGAAGCTCATGGAATCAAGATCGCCCGAATCAGCGACCAACATGCAAGTCGGGACGCATCGCCAAAGAATTGATGAGAACCTGCTAATCATTCACGTACAGCGTTCCGTCACAGGCTTGCAATCGCTCAATCATGAGACCGTCAGTCATGAAAATTAGTCCAATAGAATACGCCCGGCCTCGCTCCCATCGAGGCACTTTCTCTTTGAGCCGCTTCCGCTGGCCGAGAGTATTGATCTCGCGAGCCCCTCAACTATTTCATAACTTGCAAAGGTCGACGTTGGCCAACGGCGCAGGTTGAAGAGGCCTCGTTAAGATGGTTAAGCTCTTCGGGGCAGAGTCTAAGCCGGCGGAAAGAACTCCACGAGGCAATTTCATTTCCCGCTCGAGCGTCCATGACGCTCTTCATTGGCTCTTCTCTCTTCCTCAAGCGATCATCCATGATTTCTCAGCATTCGAGACCTACGGTTCGAACAGTGTACCGGAGCGTTGCTCAGTAGTAGCATAACAATGCCAACATCAGCTGAACAGAGGCCGACGAGAAGGTCAACTCTGACGTCAGCGATCTTTCACTGAGCTTTTGGGGAGACTTTTAACGATTTTCTCTTCTTGAAACGTTTCCGAAGTCCGTCTGACACGGTTTCGCGGTTGTTTCGGTACGAAAAGGCAGCCACGAGTTTCTTTTCAAGAGAGTCGCGCAGTCCAGCAGAAGGTCCATAGTGCGCATTTCAAGCGCTCAACTGTCGTCGCCTTCTTCCCGTCGCTTGGAAAAATCCACTGATATGGAAAATGTCACGGCGGCATCCAAAACAGACGCTTCGAGGGCTCATGCTCTTATCTGTGATTCAGACGTCGGCGGGGAAGTTGGCGAAGCGCTTCTGCCGGAGCGAAATTCTCGGAAGCGAGACATCGTTATAATTCAAGTGAGACGCTCTCGCGGATCGAGTAGAAGATCAGCGGACGTTAAAAAACTTCGAGCTTGCGCTCAGGCATGATGAGTAAGAGCTGGGCTCCGATCTCAATCATTCGAGAAACCCAGGATCCGGATGACGACGCTGAGGGTTCCGGACCCTTGATGGTGGGCATGAGTACTCGGATTAGGAATTTCACATTCCCGCCGGACAGTCGACTCTAATGCAGTTTTTTTTTCGTATCGAATAAATTCCCCGATCACCTCCGTTCGTTTCCATGAGGGCAAACGCTAAGAGGAGCTCCCGTGACCCGCTCTTTCAGAACATATGTCGCATCGAAGGGTTGCATGGGTTCGGGCTTGATGCACCGATTTGGGAGATCCTTCTTTCCGTTCCTGGTGCGCTCTCCGAAACTCCGAACAGCGACTCTGATGCTATGATGATGGGCAGTGGTGCTGTCTGCCCGCCGCCGCAACTATTTTGCGCGTTGGTGTTTGTTCGTAGATACTGCTGCCTAAGCGGAGCAGAGCACCCATCGAATGAGCCGCAGCCAGGCGGCGCGTTTCCCCTCCGATTAGTCACGAACGGAACGAGACTCCACCATGAATTCCCCCGGGAAGTCAATGTCAGGGCGACTCGGATCGACGCTCGAATATTTTGTGCTCGATCCGTCGATTTCGGGGATCAGAATGGCCGTATGGTCGCTGGTGTATCGAGCTCTAGGGGGCATTTAGTCATCGTCTTCAATCCTCGTGAGTTGTTTTCATATCCAATCATAGTAGCCGTGCGTCGATGTTGTCGTCGTGCTTTTCCCGTCGATGGTCTCATCGCGACGAAAGATATTGATCTCGGTCTCGGAAGTACGTCACCTCAAAACGGATCCCGACCCGAAGCCGATCGACATCGAAGCAGACGCCGTTGCGCCGAGTTCGATGCGTTTCTAGCGAGAAGAATGAGGAGTTGATGTCATGTTCGCGAAAACGGAAACAGTTAGAGGAGGTGGAAATGTGCGTTCGCTACTGTAGACAACTCGGAAATGTTGTTGTGTTTACTTCGTGATCGCTGTCGAGCTGTCGTCGCAGCCCAACTAGACTACTTAATTCGCTGTCCGCGTTCCTATTTGTGAAGCGGCGCCTTTTTCGACTCCGTCCAAGATCCTCCGAACCCGCGACCGTTGGTAAGACCGCAGAGGGCGAGATTCCCGTTAGGATCATAAGCAAACGCGGTGAGCTCGAGCCTTCGCACAGGAGAAATCCCCGAGGGAAAATTGTTCCTCGACGCGGCTTCAAAACGCTCCGCGTACGACCCACTCGCAATCATGAACAACCGTCATCCTCACGAGAGTAGGACGTTTCTGACATCGGCGATCGACTTCACGAGCATGCCAACTTTGCAACCGCATTCGCAACTTTCTCGGAACATGACTCCGCAGCAGATAGCTCGAACAATGACGCAACACATGGCGCGGAACATTCATACCGTTGACATGACTTCGGTTGTCCGAAACCTCGCCGGACAGCAGGGAACGGTCGTCGATAGTCTCAAACACCCGACTCAGCTCCACCATCAGCAGCCCATAAGCTACCAACTGCATCAGACTGGTCAGCCGCAGCAGCAACAACAGCAGCAGCAGCAACAACAACAACAACAACAGCAGCAGCAGCAACAACAACAGCAGCAGCAGCAGCAACAACAACAGCAGCAGGTGCAGCAGCAACAACAACAGCAGCTGGTCAGCCAACAGGTGTTGCAGCAGATGACCGGTCATCTACAACCGCTACCTCAGCAGCAACAACAGCAACCCCAGCACAACCATGTTCAGCAACAACAGCAAGAGAGACCTCCGGAGTTAACGACCCTGCAGCCTGCGCGTCCTCCGGAGCTCATCACCTTGCAACCACCTAGTGCCCATCAGCAGCAGCAGCAACAACAGCAGCAGCAGCAGCAGCAACAACAACAGCAAGCACAGGTCCAGGTTCAAAATTCGGCACAACAAGCGGTACAACAGGCCGTCAAACTCGAGCTAGAGAATAATCACGGAGTTTATTCGCGATTCGAGCCGTCAGTCTGCGGGCTTGACGTCGCCTTTCGCTTGTCGAATTACGCAGAAGCTCGGAACGCGAGCAAAGTCGCTGTCGACGTTCTATCTTCGGTGATGCTGAATCTCGACATGCAAAACATGTCAACCTCTTACATGCACCTCGGAGTTCCTCGCATTGGGTCCGGCATGGAGGTGACGATCTCACCGACCAGGATTCCAGATAACGTTCTGGTTCAAGCCGTTTCCAGGAACGTGGTCACAGTCGACGACCCGTATGCGATGGGGAAGATCGCGTGCACGTCGGTCCTGTCACACCTGTACAAGTACGGGATAGTTGAGGTGGACTCGTTGAGTTTGGTGTTAAATATTAGCAACAAAATGACCGAGAAGGAGCAGGAGGTTACGGTGAATTACATGACCAAAGGATTCAAAGACCAGGCGTATGTGGCTGGAGCTATCGTGAACGGTTGTCAGGTGACGCTGAATCCGTGGATGACGTGCGGCGGCCTCGCTGCGACAGTCTGTTACAACGATGAGATTCTCGTTCCGGACAACGCCGTGGCCGGCGATGTGCTTGTGCTGACCAAGCCCTTGGGTAGCAGCGTCGCAGCGTCCATTTTCCAATGGATGGAGGCTCCGGAAAGATGGAACCGAGTGAAGTATTACCTCACCGAGGCCGATGTTCGAAAGGCGTACGCGCGTGCCAACGACCTCATGGTTCGTCTGAATAAAACGGCAGCCAAACTCATGATGAAGTACGGGGCACACGCTTGCACCGATCTTGGCGAAGTCGGTATCCTGAAAGCCGCGCAGGAATTGGCCTCGGTGCAGAAGAGCGATGTGGCGTTCGCGATCCACAACCTGCCAGTGATCGCGAAGCTTCCGATAATCGCGAAGAACTTAGCTGCTGAATTCCCTCTGTCGCAGGGCACCTGCGCCGAGCAGAGTGGGGGATTACTGATTGCGTTGCCGAGAGAAAAAGCAGCTACGTTTTGCAAGGAGATCGAGAAGCAAGAGGGTTATCCGGCGTGGATAATCGGCATCGTTGAAAAAGGACAGCGCACCGCTAGGGTAATAGATAAGCCTCGTCTCATCGAAGTTCCCGCTAAGGATAACCCGGAGTCGCTGTGGTAGGAATGGAGAAACTGTTCGGCTGCGTCTACTTTTTTTCCCTGAATTCTGTATTTTTTTTCATTCTTCCCGTTAATTGATTCTGATCTGACTCATGATACTGCGGAGCTGGAAATCGTTTTTCTCAGCTCCTCCATCGAACGCTGAAGGCTGGGAGGCGAGAGCGTGAACTGTTGGAGATAGGCGAACGCCATCTCCAGAGCGAAGTTATCAAAAGACGCTGGAAGACTCGTCGGAAGACCTGGATAGGGACGAGTAGCGATTCCGTCTTCCGGTCCGATATCGACCCGAAAATGCGGGCGGGTAGTTACATTATGTACACAGCAGCAGCGGTGAATTGCCACGCTCTCTTTGCTCAGCACCGAACCCATTGTATATTCGCGAGCGGCTTAGGTATTTCGAGAGAGGAAAACGCGAACTATGATACACAAAAGTGATCGAGCACGACGACTTCATGATGCTGATAATAATCGAGAGTAATCGACTCAATGTACGAATGAAAGTGTTTGGAGACCAACCTCGGTGAGGATGGGTGTTTGTGAGTTTCGAGGAACGCAAATCGAGTCTCTCTCGAGTGCTACAAGAGTCCTTGAGAGAGTCTGCCAAATGCATCGTCAGCCCCCTGAGGAGGGATTTTCCGAAAACATTCGACATCGATATGCAGAAATAAAAACGATTGACCGCGGAGGAAAACTTCGTTATGTTGCAACTACACGAGCGTATTCATTCGTTCAGAATTTGCTCTTCTTGAGGAGGGGAATCGATAAACGGATCTCCGGTCGTCCACATCACCCGTTAGTTCGAGCTCAATGGATGGCTCTGGAATTTTTCTCCATCTGATCCAGACTTCCGAGCGGTTCTTCTGAGAGGAGCGCTATCTCGGAGCTCGGTCTTGAATCCGAACGGTTTCGAACCTACCGATTCCCTGCGATCCTATACCAAGATCAACATTTCGCTTAGCTCCGTGATTCCTGAAAGCATGAAGTTTGAATTTTGGCGCGCTGCTCGCTGTGGATGTCAACAAACTTCACGCACGCATGTGCTTCGCCGACGTTGGGGGAAAGTTGACGTTCGAGAGCAGCATCGGTCCACCGATCAGCTGTCCACGGAAGCCGCTTCGCAGGGCTTTCCTTCGCGCGTGCTCAGCTCTCGTCGGGAAGGCTTCTGCCTTAGAGGATTTAATGTCCTCAGAACGCGCTCAAAATCCGGGCCCATCGAGCGCGGTTCCTGTCAGAGGAACGATCCCAAAACGGCCAGTGTATGAATTGGTCATCGAAGTAGCTTCGAATCGGTGTTGCATCGCGTCGTGTCCCGGACAAATTCTCTACGAGTTCCCGAAGGAGTCGGATCGCTTGCGGAAATGGTTGATATTCTGTGGATTCCCCAACTTGCCAGAGTTCGCCGTGAGACACTACCGGCTCTGTTCAGTGCATTTTGAGAGAACGCAGTTCGCGAATGCCAAAGGTCTTCCCGGCAAGCTGTTGGACACCGCAGTACCGTCGCGAAGTGGTGCTTCCTTGCCTTATGGCTTCAATCCAGACTGTCCCGAAGAGCCTGGCAAACCTCTGCACGACATTTTAGTGCAAGCACTGGCAGGTCGTAAAGGCGACGCTCCTGAGTATTACAACACAAGTCAATTCCTAGTCGACGACCACGGCGACGGTTGACAATATGGCTAGTCGCCAGGATTTCTGTCGATTGATTCTGCCCGTTGAGAAGATGCACAAACTGAACCGTCAGGGAAGAACGCGTCTCAAGGATCTAGACGAGCCAATACCACCCGCGCCCCATTTCACCTTGATATCTGCCTATGACATGCTCCAGAAAGAACAGATTGAACGCTTATATAAGGGACGATTGTATTTCGACATCGATTGTCCGGCCGAAGGAAGGGTGCTCAACTTCAATTGCAAACTATACTGTGATAACTGGCAGGAGTGCATCGCATGGTTGATCTGCACGAGCCGGGACCTGCAGCGCAAGAATGAATACGATATCGTTCATTTCAAAAATTGGAAGTTTCATCTTTATGCCCTGAATGTTGTGTTCGCCAAGAGGAAGAAAATCGACCTCAGAATAAGGGATCTCGCAGCGAAACTTGCGAGAGACGGCGATGTAATCGTGATTCTTAGCTGATCTTGGCTATATCCAAAAGGCGGAGGCCTACGAAGAATCACGTGTTTATATTGAGGAAAAATAAAAAATCGGCAGATGACGATCTTTCCACGCGTTGAATATTGGGCGACAAACGGGGTCTGGGAGGGGAGTGTTCTGTGAAGCCCGGGTCGGGCTTCCATGAGGAGCATTTCTCCTTAGAAGAGCCGAAAGGATTTATCCCTATGCGGTGGACTGATTCGGAGACCGAATACAGATGTCATGCACTTTAGAGAAAAGCGCTTAACATTCGGATATATCCCCAAGTTCCTCCTCCCATGGGTCGCGAGACTGCCGCGGTTCGACTTCGCGACACCGGAGGAAGAATACGAAGAGGAAGAGAAGCCACCGCCAGCTGACCATGATGATGCCGAGAAAGCAGCAGGGACGACAAAAGTTCAGCAACCGAGAGCTGTTCGTGGGAAGACCAGACGTCGCGCCCGAAGGGAACTGCCAGCTCCACCTATACCGGTTTCTCTGGTGGTAGCTTTCCTCCTCATCTACATGCTCTGTGGATCGGTGAGTCATTTATCGATCCCATCTGGGGCAAATCCTATCGTGAATTCACCTCTTCCTGGAGATACATCGCGCTTGGAGCTTCTCCTGCTGACCAACTTTCCTTCTTGCAGTTGGCCTTCTCCATATTCCATGAGTGGACAATGTTCGAATCCTTCTACTTCATCTTCGTGTCGATGTCGACCATCGGCTTCGGCGACTATGTTCCGGAGCATCCTTTGACCATGATGGCTACATTCGTCTATCTCCTATTCGGTCTCGCGTTGACGTCGATGTGCATCAACGTTATACAGGAGAAACTCAACGCCACCTTCCAGAAGGCTAAACTTCATATAGCACTATCGTTGGGTTTAGAGCCGGAAGCGTTTCAAGACGAAGGTCTGACTACGGTCTACGAAGACCTCAGAGAGGACTTCGTCGAAAGATTGGATGACATGAAGCGTGGTAGCATAGTTCAATTGTAGATTGCGTGTGGGATAAATAGATGTGCCTGATATTGTGTAAATAAAGAAAAAAAGTCGCTCGACTTGATTCTTCGTGGTGGAGGTTCGCCCGAGGATGAATTCCAAGCTAAGGGAAGTGGACGACTTTGAGGGCTTAGAGAGCAGCTTTTCAGAAATATCCGACGCAGCAACGTGGGCGAAACCCCTGCCCATGCGCGGAATCTGCAGGTCAAGAATAGACGGTGCTCGATAACACTTCGCGAGCCTTTCCCGGACTCAGCGTTTATTCTGAAGATCCTATATTTCACAGTGGGTCTACTCCGACACTCTTTCAATGGTGCTTCCCGTGGCCGTCTTCATGGCCCTCTCCGTGATGATGATCTTCCGTAGTATACTTCGAAAGAAGAGCTCCTACTGCACCGATGGCCGCCCCTATACCTATACACCTCCAACCGCCAGCCATTTCGAGCATGCGGGCAGCAGCGGACGCTTCTTGATGTTGGTAGCGCCAAACTTCATTCCTGAAAATTATTTCGAACCGGTTAGGAAATCAGGGATTCTTGGATAATCTATTGAGGCGACACCTATGATCGAATATCGAACGACGCATCCCAGAAAGATCAGACACGGAAACTTGCCCACATGTCAGGGGGAAGCCAGAACAGTTCGCGACAAATCCACGCAAGAGACTCAGACATCCAGATATCGAGAGTCCAGAGTAGATCCCACCAGGGAATACGCTCTAAAAGAAGCTCACCTCATCCAGGGGTCCTTGAGACCTTTTTTCGCCAAGCGCTCTTTCAGAGTATCTAACTGTCGGATTCCGTCAGGTTTGTAGATCGTGTGGTCTTTGGGAACGATCGCTTCAGGCTCGTGGTGCCCGTGCCCCATCTGAGAGTTTCGGACTCGATTAAGATTTCGGCATCGGAAGGAATGACTGACTTTGAAAGATGTAGGTTCCGAGAGCGAATTTCGATGGATGGAACGCATGTCAACATCACTCATTAGTTGGGAAGCTCCAAAGGCACCATTGTCCTCGGGAGGTCGGCAAGGCAATCACGACGATTCTCCCCGCTTATGAAACTCCATTCAGGTGCTTCCTGGCGTAGGCAAAGTTGAATTTATACACTATACAAACCTTGGAAAAATCTGTGATTCGGTCGCGAACAGCCGACCTTTCGTCTTCTTTCTGCTACAACATTCTGTTTTGGTGCCACAACAGTACCGCTTTGCCACCACTGAGTACCACAAGACGTTTTTGACCGAAAAAAACCCACGACAAGCTTTCCGGAAGTTCGGATTCTCAAGTTGGCGTAAGTTCGAGGCTCACCAGCGTCTCATGATATTTTCGGTCCTCATGTGGAATGCTCGGGATTTCGGAGCTCTCTCGCCTCCGGGAGTGTGGGTGAGTTGGTCGAAGCTCCGCGCATGTCCAACACTAAAGCAGGCAGCGGTGTGCGGACAGGAGTTCCAACTCTGCGTTAGCGATAGGCCACGGTGATCCGCATTCGGGAACAACCCCGGGACAGTGCAAATATCAAGGCTCCAAAATGCAGTGAACCTTCTCGAGGTGAGTTCGCAGTGCCAACATTAGCTGTCCCCACGGTATCCGGTGAGAACTCCCGGAGTAAAAAGCGCAAAATCTGGTAGCCCTGTGACGACTACTGACGACCGAAGAGAGAAGCGAGAGCAAACCAGGTGGTCGCTGGGGCCGGATCGGCTTCAGCTGACGGCTGTCAACCGAGCTCTTGACGTGAGCCAGCCGAGACGGATAGACTTGATGATAGACTGTGTTGGTGGGATCGCTTGTACCTAAGTTCTCCACCGGACCATCTGAGCTCATGGGCCTTCGAGATTCCACACGTATCCGAGTTATCGCTTTCGATCGCTTACGGTGCTCCCGATCGGTGGAACAGAACAGTGGAACAGAACAGCGGTTTTCGTCGACTTTATGATGTCGTTGTGAAATCATCATGGGATCGCTATGGCTGGTGAACTATCGTACACAATATTGTCAAGCAATCGACTCGACCGACCGCCGACGGATTAGTCCTGACGGACTGGACCTGACTCAAATGCACCTAACTGTCGTCGAGTCTAAGGTTAATTGAGCGTACGAGTTTTCTAAGTAGTGCCGCGCTCGAGGCAACTCACCATCCCGTGACTTCATCTCTGAAATCGTGCTCGGAATGACGATACCCCGATCCGGGAGGATCTTCTCCGGATCGCTTTTGTTTGTGTGCATGCCTGCGGCAACTCGGACGGCCGCATGGATAGATAAGGGGATCCGCGGGGGATTTCGCGGGAAGGCGAAGAACAATGTCGAGAGGAACACTTTCGGCAGAGAGGAATATTCGGCTTCAATAGTCGATAATTATTTTCGTCGAGGCCGCAGCGGCCTGGCGGCTCCAATGACGGGGACTCGTTTTTTTCTCTCGAAATGGAATTCTCGGAATTGGTTTTGAATGGACTTGTATTCTAAGAATCGAACTGTGCCCCCAGGGCGTGAAGGAGGCTCGTTTCCGAGTGGCGAGTCGCATATTCGCGAGCGAGTGGCCTCAATGTCGACAGCGGAAACGACACCGGGGTAATGGTGACGAGAAAGGGAAAAATAGAATCCTGATTCGATCTGAAGTCGAACTCCTTCGTCAGGATATTGCTTGTGCGTGTCTAAAATAAACTTTCGCGAATCGGCGATGCCGAATGCGGTGCGCGGAACGTGCCGCGTCGATGCTCCCCGATACCTCCGTAACAAGCCGCGCGAGTTCCAGCGAAGAGCGAAGCGTTATCCAGCTTCCTGTCCTAGTCCGCCCCTTTTTCCGAGCTCCGAATTTCCCTAGTGCTCTGTTTTCGGGAACGTTCCTCTCGAGTTCCCGAGCTGGCCGGAGAGCGACGGATTCCGTTCTTCGAGACCCTGATTCCACGTTTCAAACTTCATTCCCCGGACGTTACTCCCGTCGCTGCCTCTAGCGAAGAGCTCTGCTCGTCCAGAGCGCCAGGACAGTCGCGGCCATGCAGAGTACGATACGTGGGACGGCGACGTATATCAACTTTGCTGAGATGCCGCCCAAGTTCTTGGAGGTTCTCGGCTAAGAGCAACGTGCGATACGACCCCGCGAGCTCTATCTCGGACGGTGCGAAACAAAAGCCACCTCTATTCCGTCGAGCGTGCCAATGTCATTACCGTGCTCGTTAGCGTACAAACGTTGTTTGTCCGAGCGAGTATCGTCGTCGCCAAGTACCACTCCCGGTGCTCGGAGCGAGATGGAGATGGAACATTGGCTCTTCAGCCGCGAGCTATAAACCGCGCTGATAAGCTACAGCGGAGCAGGGGAAATTATGGAAAAATGTGCAGAGATATCGTGAGGCCTGCGTTTATTGCTGAACGCCGGTAGCTGGGTAGTTGCGGGTGGGGAACGAATTCCCATACCAATAGCTCGGTGACGAGCGTGGGATGCTTGCTCCGTCGGGTTGTCTCCCGTTGATCACCTTCTGCAAGTAGCGCTTCCGAATCCAATTGTCTCGTTCCCTTTGCGGAAGCTGGTGCGTCCACGGGTAGACCCAGTGGGACTTCTTTTCAGTGACCTCATCGAGTTGAGTCATATACCGACCAGCGGACAACAGGCACACTCATCGGGCTCTCGAAAACGGAGCACAGCGAGAGGTGGGCACGAAGACGCCGACGCCTCGAGGAATTTCCCTCCAACGTCGCTTCTGCAGTCAGTGTTTTTCCCTCGGCCCCGAACAGGTCGTGCGAGCGAATATATATCTCAAGCATTTCACCGTGTGCTGGAGGAAAAGGAAACATCGCACCCAGGTCTCGGAAGCAATACCTTCCGATCGGAGCTTCCTACCCCAAGTCGGAGAGTCGGCGCGTCATTGGCGTCGCTGACGTTATATGTACTCATCTTTGCTGTGCTTCCCAGAACTCTACGCAGTTTTACGCAGGACTTAGTCATGCGGCAATGCTCACCACGACATCAGGATGCTGCTGTCCTGGAACCTGCTCCGAGTAGCATCCTTCCCGTGGAATATCGATCCGTTCCCGAGTCGACGTGGGAAGATCTGCGGGAGAGCCTCTAAAAGAAGCGGGAAGACGAACGCGTTGGGAATCAGAGTTGTTCCGAGGGAGAATCGATGGACCTCCCCGACTCAAAACAACACGGAAAAGAAGGCTGACCCCGGCGAGAGTAATGGGAGAAAACAATCGATACCGTCCGATATCGAACAATATTTATGTCAAGGCTGATCGGTCGAGGCTCGAGACGAATCTTCCTCTCCGGAGTCGACTCGGGAAGTAGATGCGCCGATCGGCGAAGATATTATGTAAGGACTCCGAGCCTCGGCGCCGCTCTCGCCTTCCGCCTTTTCGATCTGACTTGGACTCCATCCGCCAGCATCCCGAACTGTGATTGAAGGCTTCTCTGGCTTTCTATTTCCGGTGACCCTCCATTTCTATCCAACGGGCAGGAAAGCCAGACCCCTGTCCCGGGAAACAACCTGAGTTCGACCGACGACGATTCATCGTTCTGGATGGACTGAGAGACCCCGTCTTATATTGGCAGACTGCTCTCGAGACTGTCTGACTGCAGGGAGAAATTGGAAAGGAACTTCGGTTCCGTCGGCTTCGCGAGAAACGCCCATCAGGATACGAGCTCCGAAGGATTCCGAATCTCTTCCTTTCCGAGCTTCTGTTGATGCTCTGCGATTCGTATAGAAACGAATCGGGGCGTATCCGAATACTAGTTGTACTTGTTTTTGTTCGGAGATGTGGCTGCTCTGGCTCTCGAGGGAACGAACCGCGTAGCAAATTAGCTCTACGACGAGATTTTTTCTCTCTCCGTTTCTGCGGGATGCCATGATGAATGCTTATCCCCCGGTTCTATCCTCGGAACTATCCGTCCACTGAGCTTGTTGTAGCTGTCGCTCTATACGCCGCCAGCGTCGTCTAGGATCTCGCCGTCCTCATGGACCCTGCTGCTGTCGCTGACACTGTTGATGTACTCGATTTTTTCGAAGCGTAATTTCCCCACGTGATGAGCCGGATCGCTTTGTTTTGCTTTCTCCATGAATCCATCGAATCGGCCTGGCGCTTAGCGTCTCCCCGACGGGGTTATCAGCTCGTTGAGAGAGCCGCTGGGCTTCTACCGCTTAGGGCTTTCAGACTCCGGAATGAGTCATGCTCCCGGGAACGTACATACGAGACTTCGGATGACCCCGCTGGTCGCCCACAGGCAACAAGTAACGCATCTCGACTCCCGGACATAGCAACGACGGGGTTGACGACAACAACAACAACAGACGGAGGATTACAGCTCCGGGGTCCGGCTGCGCATGTTTATCTCAACGAGTAAATCCAGCCGTCAGCTGCTCACCCAGTGGCCGCCCCGAATAGACTGAAGCGATCCTGTCGCCGCTCTATGAATTTCACCCTACGCCTCCGCCTAAAACTGAAGGTTTCTCGGAGCGAAAACTCCATTCGAGGTTCGTTCGTCGGCGTTCGGAAAAGGGAACCACGGCGGGCCATCGCATCCGGGGCCGTGCTCGGGCTGCCCGAGTCATCGAGCAGCATGCGAATATTTTCTGAATGCCCGCTCATAGGCACTCAACGAAAGAGCGGGGCTGACCACCGGACCCCTTTTTCCAAATGGGAAAACACAAAAGCCCTTATTCTCCGAGGGGTTCGGGGATCCAGCTGGGAAGCCCAAACGGACAACCCACCGAGGGAGCCCGACGATGAAAGCAGACGAGGGAATTCACGGGGGAAACTTAGTTAGAAAGTCTTGGCCGTGTGACGCGGGGAGCCGGCAGCTATCTCCAGCAGCCTCTCCTGCTTGAGGGGAGACGGTTGAGAGAGTTGGGGGTGGCTGAACGGGAACTCGAAGGAATAGTATGTACCTTGTAGGGATCTTGAGGGAGATTTCCGCGTTTGGTATTTAGACAGAACGCACTATTCATACGCCGCATGCCGGACGACTAATCACCCATCGCGAATCGAACATCACGCCTCGGTGAGCTGCATGATTGAAGTCACGCATTGAGTGTCCTCGCGAGCTCCGGGAGCTCCGTCCCGTTGACGTCGTATGCTCATCACAAGGGGGACCGCAAGAAGTGGAACCATCTCGAAGTCGATGAGCCGGAAAGCTTGAGCTCAAGTTTGTACCCTGGTTGACACCAGAGGCAGCGCAGACGAGACTTGCGTCAACTGACTACGTGATCCTATTTTGAATCCCGACGTTTCTCAATCAAGTTTCGGCGAGTCAATTCCAATTAAATGCATTCCTCATGTGGGCTCCGAGTTCGAAAATCGCTCCCGGTCGGTCTCTGACACTCGCGGAGCATGTCCTCGCGGAGTGTCTGGGGTATGTCAATTTGTTATTCTCAACGTGGGACGCACTTTAGCAAACTCGGCTGCTTCGCGGATCCTGATTATTTAGAGAAGGCTTGAGCGGCTGAACACTTTGAGAGTTTGAATCCTCTCGGGATTGAGCCCTCGAGACCAAGTCATCCCTTGAACTCTATGATAAGACCCGAGTCCCGCCCCTACCGCTAGTCAGCCACCGTATTTGCGGAGCAAAGGAGTGAGAGACACGATCACTCCACTCTGGAGTTGAAGTGACTATCTCTTCTTTGAGAACCAGTGCCTTGCCGGCGGCTTGTCGATGAAGCATTCCGATTAAGACTCGGAGCCATCTCAAACAAGTCGAACCTTAGTCGCGATTGTCCGATTTTTCGAGAGAGGGACCGATTCCTGCACGGAAGCGGACGGAATTCGTTCGCTCGATCTGAATTTTCTCCCCGTGCATCGGGGACGGAACAATTCCATATGAGGATATAGCCGAAGACCTTTAGGACTTTCTTTGCAACTCGAGGATCCAGGCTCCTCTTCTGGATAGCCGTTGCGAAATTCCGCGGAATTTCTCCCGAGGATCCCGTGCTCGGAGGGTGGGAGACGTGCTGTGGCGAAAAAAACGTTTTATTCTTCTTCTGGCAGCGTTCACGTTGCATCGGCAGCGACGACTCGCTGCTCGACTCATTGTCAGTCATCGACCGTATTTGGCTTCGGTTCGGAGAAATTCTCCCGGTGAGAAATACGACACCCGTCAGGCTCCGCTTTGAATCCGCTTTCGAACCGAAAGGACATCGGCTCTGCCGCTGCCGGTGGAACAAATTCAACAGCGTTCTACGTTCCCGCCTGAAGCGCCAAAGACACCGAAGCCCGGGATGAGGCTTGGAATTTGAATTAGGGAGGGTCAAACATATCATCGGCTTGTCTCCCCGCGGTTGTGAGCTGATTATCGGTGATGGCTCTATGAATGACTTCTGAATACCGTTTGTCTCGCGGGCTTGATCCTGGCCATGGAAAGTAACCGACACGTTCAAATCCGCAGACGTCTTCTGAGAGCTGGCCCGATACGGTCGAGCTGTTTTAAAAATCCATTCCGATCACTCACTTGCGGTGAAGAAAGCGAGAATGTGGAAGAGAAGAAATATTTCCTGCGGCACCGGTGATCCGCTGCCTGGGCTGTCCATCGCCCGCTTAGCCGGTCGGTCGGTCGGCCCGCTTGCCGAGCACACCACTGGGCTTTATAGGCCCCAAAAGCCTCAGCCACTAATAGAACTATAAAAGTCGCTTGGTCGTCCATTCCTCTTCCGAGTCTTCAAGTTGGACTCTGCGTTGCTGAATCCTCACTTCCTCGCAACGGTGACAGAGCGCGTTCCTCGACCGATACTTTGGTTCTGACGCCGCGCCGGCGCCGCCTCGGCGATCCTTCATGACCACCGGAAGGAATCAGGTGATTTCAGGGAATATCTTCTACAAGTGGAGGCTCAAATATCCGAACAGTCCCGCGAATTCGTTGCGAGCACCCCTCCGATGATTCAAATGTGATCTCCTTTCTCCCACACAGTCAGCGACATCGATCATCTTATTCACAACGGTCCCATGAGTGTGTGTCTACGTAATTCATCGGAGTATCGGTGGAGATGGGCCACTTGAAGTGGATTCGCCGGAGATCCACAAAATGTCCGTGAGGGTCCGATAGCGTTATCAAGAGGGTCGGGTCGAACGACACTCGTGAATTCGGTTGTTCGGACGGACGGATTCTGAGCAGACGGATTTTATGGCCTTGTCCAACAGAAAATGTGACGTCCGTTTCACGCTGGGACAAGAGTGTCGTTCGGGAGACGGGCGCCGAGGTTCGATCAGACTAATTTCATGGATGTTCTTCGTATGCGTGCCTCAGATTGGGAGAGCTATGCATAATAAAGAGACTCGAAGAGCTCGTTCGGCATCGTGTGGCACCGAAAAGCTCGTGTGAGGCTTTTAACGAAATCTCCTCTTTGCTCATGTTGTACCCGTCTGCTTCTATTTGTGGATTCGCTGTAGCTTGACTGCTCGGGCTGAATTCAACACGTCTTGAGCCCGTCAAGCAGCCTAAGATGGGTTCTAGCTCGTTCCCTCCACGAATAGGAAACCGCTTCCGTGGTTCGTTTATTCCGAATTCCTAGCTCTTTTTGACTTATCCGCGAAGTTCCTGACGACGTTTTCTCTCCCGCAACAGAAACCAACGAAACAACAAGCTGGCTGCACCCTCGAGGTCTTCCCTGGTTGTTTTTATCTCAACGGGCGTAGTTCAAAGTGGAAGAATTATGAAAGTATGTTTACGCTCCTCGCCGCGAAGTTTTTTTTCGGAAGCGGGAACAGAGGGCGGGGGGAGCAAGCGGTCTCGGCTTCACATTAATTTCAATATTCTCTCCCGGACTCTGTGGGCCCGCGCCATCCCGACCGCCCGAGCTTGCCAATAATTCTCTTGGGAGAAAATGAACGGAGCGCGTCCAGCAGCGTGAGCTACTTCCCCTAATCGTCGTGAGCGTTACTGTAGGAAGACTCCTCTTTTTGAGTGATGCCCTGTGCCCTCTTCGTATGTGTTCTCCCGCAATGAATGATCCTTTCTGCTGAACTCGGCCACAAGCTCCGCTAATACCGACAGAGCCACCGCAGAGACTAACCACGACCGTCGAGACCGCGGCATCGATTGACAGAGCTGTAGATCATGGGCGTGTGTGAGCGATGCGGCCGTACGGATTAAGTTCTCCTCGATTCCACGTACTCGGATGATCCGTCCCGAGTTGCTGAAATATCCATCCTGCCGAACGAGCCCACCGCGGTTTGAAGTTCCCAGAGAAAAATAACTTTCCCTCGTGGATACTATCCTACTCAGGCAATCGCATGCGTACAATTGTACCGAGGAACTAAAGTTCTTCTTTTTTCCGTCCGATTTCAGAAGGCTGAGCTGGCCGAGTTGTTGTGCTATGTTTGACCAGTCTTCCAAAAGCGCTAGGCTCCGAAACTCTGATCGCTTGCGCATCCTGTCGGCATCGAGCGCCGTGTTCGTAGTGAAATGAATTCTCTGGTGCATCACGACGTCCTTGCCTCAGGCCTCATCCGCAAGGAGACCGTGCTCGGAGGCTTGATTCAACCGAGCAGCCAGAACGACACTCCTCCACAGACTACGACAAGGAGCTCTTCAACCCAACCCAACAGACGAGATAGCAACAGTTCCGAGGATTCCGAGATCACGCGCCTATTTCCAAAGTGTAAGAAGTCGTCGATCCTCAGCAACGGGCAACTCAAACAAAGTAAGTGCATTCCTTGCCGTCACGCTCGTATCTGAAAAGGTCTGGAAGGATATTTTGGCTCGGATCCTAGTCAAGACGTCGCGGTCGAGGAATATTCTCACGGAGTGCCGCCCGTCGTGAAACTTCCCAGTCAGAGATATCGTCGAGCTCCCGTATCGCGTGCGTGTGTGCCTCGCACGCAGGAAGTCAGTCGCCAAACAGGAAAAACTTTGCATGACGGAGTTCGTTGTCGGAAGGCTGCGGGACGGGACGCCGATGCTGGCTGAGTATCGGGATCCCTCCTTGTTCCTCCGGCCGGCTCGAGGAGCTCCTCCTCCTCCAGCAGCGATCTCGCGAGACGCGGGACGACCCGTCCTGCGATCCGGGATGTTCTCCCTCTCGCGAAAGCCAGCGCACCAGAAACGCCAGCGGGCGAGTTGTCTGCCTGTCTGAGTGAGAGGCCCGAGTCGGCGTTCAGCTCGGAGGTGACTGGATTCTTGGGCAGTGGTATGCGAATGGAAGAGGGTTAGTGGCTCTCTAAGCTCTTAGTCTGGCGTTCCTAGAGTTCACTTTTCCTCCTTGGACTTCGGCTCCCGCGCCTCGGCTGTTACCACTGACTGCTGATATGATAATGCCTCCTGCTGCTCTTTCTCCACCGCTGGATGTGCGGCTGCTCCCTGCCTGTCGGCCCGCAGGCCGCTTGCTCCTGTCGGCCTGCCCTCGATGGCAGCTCGAGTCGGGATCCGCGGCGGCAGCAGCGGCGGCGGCCGCTTCCTGCTATTAAAGGGGCTTCCGTTCTGCGATTGGACCGTGCAGGATACTGCGACGCTCTGGATAAATAGATTGATGGATTAGTAGCAGATAAGACCGGACGAACAGATGGACATACGGATGGATTAGTGGTGGAAGGACATAGGGCATATCGCTACGAGGACATCCGAGGACAGCGAACACCTGGCTCCTTCCGGGACAATCGACGTTGTCTTCCTCCCGGACACAAACTTCTGAAAATTTGCTCTCCATCGAGAAATTGGATTTGAGTTCTTTTCACGCTCTATAGCGCTCCCTTCCCCTCCCCCTCGCCCCTCACCCCCGCCATTGTCACCATCCGGCTCCTCTGCAAACACTTAGGTACCTGGCTTGTGTGCTCTGAGCGAATCGCCGTCGATGATGGCTTCGTGGGTAGCGGAGCTGATGGTTCTGCGGACAGCCCGTGTACAGGCCCGGGAGAAGTCGTTCGTTATCCAATCGTTACCCACTCGTATTGGGACGGAATTCGAGAGTCGACTCTCACTCCCGAGAGTTTCCGCTCCGGCGCTGGGAGTGGGAAACGCAATGACGAATCTGGGAGCGAAATCGGAGAGCGTCGCGGCAGTTCTAGTCTGTTCCCCGGACGGAAAGCTCAGAGGTATGTACATGCCGCGTTCCGAGTGTTCGTCGCTAGTGTGATCATTCGCAGCTCGGTTCTTGGAGCGGGTACCTACCTACTATCTCTCGGAAGACCGGACAAGGTGTAATGCCATGTTCACTTAAACGCCCTGGAAACGCTAATTGATTGGCGAAACACCGAGAGCAATAAATTCCTTTACGTCTTGAGCAATGAAACTAGTCCTCGAGGCGATCTTACCGATGTCGCACAAGGACACTACCGGTGCAAGACTCACTCGGCGGACTGATATTTATCTCACCTCTACCTGGCCCTCAAGGGATAGGGTCAACCTCGAGCTGGAGCTCGGGTTTGCCATCTCGATGTCTAAACCCCGCGAAACCGAACAGCGGAGCGAGCTAGAAGAGAATAACTATTATCGCACCTGTCCGAATCTGATTCCGATTGGATCGCAAACAGGACCCCTCTGGAGGAATGGCAGGACGCTCGCGGGGAGGGTATATCGGCCTGGGAATGATCGTTGCTTGCGGCTCTGGATTAGATGCAGCTAGATTCCGTAGATTCCAAAGGAATGTGTTCCGGTTCGCCCGCGAGGCTCCCGGAAAAATCGGAGAGCTTCGAAATGGAACAATGCAGCTTATTTGAGATGGATCCGGGGCGGCGTCGTCCGGAGCCGTCGTGTGAGCACGCCATCAATGCGAATTCGGGTCGAGTTACTCTTCGGGTCAGAATCGAATCTTCATCTATCTCTGGAATCGAGTTGAAGTTCAGCTGGACGTTTTGAACGGCGGGTGATGGTCGCTCCATTTGTTCCTCGCTCCACGAGAACTGCTAAAACGATTGGGGATCGGCATAGGAATCATGTGTCCGACTTTGAGGGTTGATGACTAAAGCCAGACCAGAGCGGGCGTCGTCACGCTCGAGCTCCAGAACTGCTGACGTCGGGCAAAAGTCCACCGATAAGAGACTCGCTCGTGACTAATGGCGATTGAGTGTTCGATCGATCTGAAACTCAGTTACAGGCGGAGATCCTCACTCAATCACACACCCGCCTTGTGAATTCTGTTTCCTTTCTCATGTCCGATCCTGAATTCCATGAACGATCTAAGCATCGAGGTCTTCGTGATCGTAAATTAAGCCGAACCTCTTTCTTACAGCACTAGTCGGAAATAACGCATTGTCGCAAAAACTCCGAGGACGTGGAGGAACTCGTTTTGACGAAGAAGGAAATCGGACACTATCTTGTCGAGATCAGAATCAGAATCCTCAGACCGTTGGGGAGCAGCATCGTTTATCGCAAAATTTGAACCAACTGGCAAACACAGATAACACTCGGAGACCAATGGATCTCCACCGGGTCCACAACTCTGCACATAAGCCACATAAGGTACGTTTCTTTCTTCCTTTCTTTCTCTCCCAATCTCCTCTTACAGGTTGCTCTCTGACCTTTCGCTCCGATCTCGACGCTGATCGCTCAGGCACCGATCCGAGGACGTCGTCTGATGCAAGAAGCGACTCCGAGGGATATGCGCCTTTCCGAATCGAATCGATCGGGCTTTGATCTCGATTTCTCCCGCACTGTTCTATCTTCAGAGTTGCGCGTCAGCACCTGAAACGCGATCTAGATGTTTCGCTCGCTCTCAGGTGGAAAATTTTCGCATGCATGCATAAAGAGTCCCTCAGGATCTGCAAAAACGCGGCGAGTGAACGGAGCGATTGAAGAGGCGAGAAAACCCGGGTCTCGCGGCTCAGGCCCGTTCAAATCCGTGAGCGAAGCAGAGACAATAGTCTTTGTCCTAATGGACCAAGCAAAATATTTGTTCTGGCGCACCTCAGCCAGGACAGCTTGCCTATTGGACTCTTACGCTTGATTCCAAGCTCAACGCGGACTTCTTCTTCCACATAAAACTGAGCGAGGCGGTCAAGTCCACGGCACCGAGCTCGAATTCTCTTTGATCAACGAGTGGCGAGTCGCCGGTGATCACAAAAGGGAAACGTAGGAAAATTATTGAGCCTATGTATCCAAGCCTGGCGAGTGTTTGAACCCCCCGGCCCCGCGCGGAAGCCACCGTGGTCGGGTCAGGGGAAAACATACGCTCACCACGACTAGTACTCGGACAGACGGAGAGACCCTGACAGGGCCTTCCGAGTATATCGGCCGGAGTCTTCTCTACGACGATTCAATGCAGTCGGCCGCGCTCACTGGATCCGTCGTCGAGCGGGACGAATCGGGGTATGGTGAGGCGCGTTGCGACCGGCTTGGTGTGGTGGTGTCGTCGTCGTGTGATTTAGAGAGTGAGTAATAGACGGGGAAAAGGAAGACAGAACAAGCAAGCGGCTAAGTAAGCAAGCAAGCGAGCCGGCGAACACACCGGGAGAATTAGCAATCGCCCCCCCCGTCCGACGTGACTTGCCTTGGGATCAAGTTCTGCTCCACAATCCGATGTATTGGCAGCTCGCCCGTCCCTGGCTCAGACCCCATCGTTCGCACGACACTGTGGCGGCGCCAGTCGGCAGCTGTATCGGGAGGACTCGTTTCCCGAATCTGATCCCGCGCCTTTTTGACATTTCTAAACGTAAATGATCGAAAATAGATGGAACGCTCCCGATCCGTCGAGTAGGCATCGAAGGCAGGGGCCTCGTAGTTCTACGTCAAGTCGCTGCGTGATATCCCGCGAAAGCCCAGAGCAATGGACGTCGTACGAAGCTTTATTGAGACCCCGTTCCGTTTCTATTGACTCAGGCGAGCCCCCAAGGGAAAGAGTCGAGAACAAGCTCAGGCTACTGACGAGTTTCGCGGTGAGGAATCGGGTGAGATACCGAGCCCGTCGAGAGAAATACTCGGTCGAGGCATTGCTGAGCGACGCCTCGAACACAGGTTAAAGCCCTGTAGAGGGAAAGCAAACGGAAATATCAGCGACGCCAGCTGTACTGATGAATGGAAAGCGGATCGGAGAAGTCGCAGGGAGTGGGGAGTGGGGAGTGGGGAGAGATACTCCTAGGAGGAGCGCGACTCCGAAGCCATCAGAACTACCGCCAACACGACCACCATCGTTTAGAGAGGCAGTCACAAACGGAGGAGAATGAGAGGCAAGGTGCGGAGCGCTCCGACTGGACGAATACGATATGAATAGATGGGAGCTGACGGAAGGAGAGAGGCACTTGGAAGATAATGGCGTACAAAAAGGAATCATGAATGTCCAATGAGGAGGAAGACTTTCCTGCGGTGCTGCAACACGAACTTTTTCGCGAATGAAGACTGCGATGGAAGGAGAACAGATGAACGTAGGCTCACCTAAGTGAACCCGACCCTTCGGCGTTCTCCCTCGGTACCGCCCGTGGAATCCTGTTGGGGTTGCCGCCGCAGGCAGGGGGCGACGTTGAGCACTCGTGGAGTGGGAGACGGCTCCAAAAAAAATATGCGAATTCAACCTGTCGAAATATCCTGGCCTTTTTTTGACTGCCAGGATGGGGATTCCCCCGTGCAGCTCGATGTGCAGCTCTTCGTTGCGATGTCCGGAGTCGGAGGTGGAAATTGAAATTAGCTTCTCCACCTTCCCGGACGAAGCTCGATCTCTAGATTTCGAAATCTATCTCGACGAACAGCTGGCCACTCCCGGAAGCTTCGCCCAATCCTCTTGTGGCGCCGTGCGCCGAGACTTCTTAGGGTGCATTTGTCTTCCGGTGGAAATTGATATTCCATTCCGCTGAACCTGAGTACTTTGGTAAGATTCGGATTTCGATCCGAGGCGGAGATCATAGGCGTGTCGGCCACCCCGTATGCGATATGTGCATTCGAATGCGATAGACTCCTCTCCTGAGATGCCGCTTCCACCGTCATCTCGGGGCAGAGATTCTCTCCCTTCGTGGAGAGAGAGAGAGAGGCGCGAAAATTCTCGTGAAGATTTCAGCGGGGGTTGGCTGCCAGGGTTGCCGTGAGGCTGCCCGAGAGGGTTCTCCTGAGGAAGCTCCAATCGTTGCAACCGTCGAGATTTCCGCCATCCGGCTCTAATCGAATAAACACATCCGCTCTCTTGATTCTGGATTTGGGAGGAAGAACTTTCCTGGACGCTGGGGGGACTCAAGCTGGGGAATTGCCCCTCGGGTCTCCGGCGATCATCACCGGCTTCGGGCTCGAGAAACTCCGTGGCATCATGTACTTGCACGACAACTTGTTCTTGGCTGAGCTCCTGCGTGCTCTATGACTCAGGATCCCGCTCGTTGCCTCGAATCGTGTTCAGTCCCTCTGCAATTTTTAGCGCACCGGCGAAAAAAACGGCGACAGCAAGAAGTAAGTCAACGTCGCTATCCATCACTGTGGAATACGTCGTTAGCAACGCGTCGTCGTGGTCGTCGAAGAATACTGCGCTGAGGGGAGTTTCCCTTGAGTGCTCATTAAGGCTCCTTTGCTTAAATCGAGCGGGAAAACGACCGTGGGAAGACTTCCGTTTCTTCTCCCGAGCGTCGTCGGCGGCAGGAGCTTCATTAAAATAAACCAAAGAGTTGGCGCAAGGACGCAGCCCGCGTAAGGTATGCCCGAGTCGCTTCCTTCGAGATCGCCGCCGGTCTTGCGAGCTCCTACTGTTCCTAGTTCGCCTCAGCCTCTCGAGATGTAAGGGCAGATAAGCGCTTACTGATAAGGGCGTCTCCTCTGGTAGGGGCATCTCATGCAGGACCAGTGGCTGGAAGGTATTGCCATGTGGCTGAAAGATAAATGAAGGGAGGAATGAATGAGTGGATTGATGAATAGGTGGACGAACAACCAACAGATTAGATAGCTGCTGGGGGTATCACAAGTGGTGGAGGCTGCATCAGCAGCGGCCTCGGGCAAAAGTTCCGTGGCGTGAAGAACAATGGAGTCGGTCAAGAACTTGGCAGAAGGAAGATTGAAGAGACTCGTTCGCTCGCTCCTTGCGAGGTACCTAATTCGAACCGAGTGAATATATTAGTGCAATCGAGAAGGGAGGGGCGTTCACTTTGAGTAGTTGTAATAAGCGGATTCGAAGCTAGACGCAAAGTTTGAGCGCAAACGCGAGCGCGGAATCGGGTCCAATGGCGTGCGACAAAGCGAGCGCGGGACTCCACCTTTGAGCAGGGGCAGATCCGACCGCGAGACTGCGGTATTTGAACGTCGCTGAATTCGAAGAGCACACAATGATTATTCCTTCCGAATTCATGCGAGAGGATTCTGAGACCGATGACAGAGAACCTAGCGATCCCCCAATCATCCAGAGAGGCAGGACTTCTTCAAACCATAAAAACTCCGAAGTATCAATGTTTTTAAATATTTCCCCTCTCAATTTCAGCTTTTGCGGTCGTCTGACGCCCTCATCAGTTCGCCGACGGACAACGAAAGCTTTCTGATGGAACAGCAGCAGCAGCAACATCATCATCAGCAGCAGCAACAACAACAACATCTGCAGCAGCAACAGAGTCAACAACAAAACCAACAACACCATCACCACTACCATTTGCATCATCGAGAGAAATCTGATCGGAGCGGTGGTGGCGGTGGAAATAGTACTAATGAGCCACGAGAGGAAACTGTAAACATCACCGATAACCTCCTGAGCGAAGTGACGACGACACCCAGAGGTGGAGCTAGCCTCGACTCGGATCTTCCACCCCTGCCGAAGGAGAGCCGGAACTCTCTCGGAGTCACTTTCAAAGGTCAGTGAACAAGAGCGATACGAACGGACCGATACGCTGAGTCCTATAAAGGCCGCGATGAAAGCCTTCGCCCGTGTGACTGACAAGCGGACTAGCCCCCGAAACTAGTTACGACCGAAAAGCAATCGTTGCCTCGAGAGTCCGACGGCCACACCAATTTATTCAAGTAGCCTCTCACAAACAATTCTCCATGCTACGCTCAGCGTATCGTGGGCTGCGATCGCCGCAGAGCGCGACGGTGGCCAACGATCGCGGTCGGATGAGTCCCTCTGTACCGAGTGCTCAGTGATTCCCGGAATCGCGGTCGAGGACTTCGATCTCAGTCGTGATTGTTCCGAGAAGCTTCGCAGGGCTTTCCACACCCACAGGGAAATACAACTACGGCCTCAATAGACGCAGAAAACTAGGGGAAAATCCTCGATAGATCGAGATGTTCTCAGGAGCCGTTATCTGACAATTGTGAGAGCGCTTTTCCCTCCGTCTGAATGAGTGACTCAGGCGCTGGTCCGAGGATCTCGGTAACTTTCAATTTCGAGAAACCCACGGAACTCTGGTCATCTTCCTGGTACATGGAGTGTCTCGCACGATTCTTCCACCATCTCGTTGAGCGAGACCACCGCTAAAAATCGCGCTTTCCGAAATAATTCTCCTACCGACTTCATGGGTGCGCGTGACCTATCGACAGGTGCTCGACAACGGTTAGACTTGCAAAGCTGCAATGACGCCGCTCGTCGGGGAGGTAGCGGAGTTTCGATTCCGACTGCCGGCAAAATATCCTTTACGGAATCTCCTGTCAGGAGAGCGGGTACTCGGCCTCTATCCTCGTGGGTACATTTGCTTTCTGTGTCCGTTCCCGGAAGCTATGAGGGAGAAACAATGCCCGGGACGTTAAACCTTGGCTGTGTGGTCCAGCTCGGAAAAGTTATTTTCGGTGCACGTGACCAGAGCCTGGACTTTTCTCCCGGAATTTCCCTCTCTCAGCAATCGTCGGTCATGGGAAACTTTGCTACGGCACGATTCTGAGCGAGACCGAGCCGGAGGAAGAGCGGGTCAAGGCTCCAGGCATCTGGGCAGATTGCAGCAAAAGGCCGAGCGGCAATGTACAAAATGGTATGGAACAGAAGGACGGCGAGGAAGAGAGATGCGGGGAGGGAGCTCGAGGAGCCCATGCGATGACGCTCGGGGTCCGCTCCGTCGTGTGCTTGCGGCTCCCGCCGCTCTGAGTCTCACAGATACCGCCAGCCGGCATCTGTTCGTTTGTTCGGCGCAGGTAGCGGTTGCGGCTTGTTTCGCTGGGAATGATAAATTTGCGCTGTAGTCATTACCTCCGGGGCAACACGGAGCGTGGCCGAGAGGATCCCTTCCAACTTTCAGTGGAACAAATGAGAATCGAGGGCTTGCCATCCATACCGAGTAGATCGGTCGACTTCAACACGATGGCTCATGCGGTGGGAAATCTCTTTCTCCGGGTCACGACTCACTAGAGAGATTACTCTGAGAAATTCACAAGAGAATACCGCCTGGAGCGCGACAGGGGCCGCGAAAAAACTTTTCGTCTCTTGACGCGTATTCCTTCCTTTGGAAGGGAAGGTCCCGCTAATGAAATTATAATGATGATCACTGCGGGAAGTTTTTCGGCAATGCGGAGACCAGCCGGCCTTGTAGGCGTACGGAGAAGTCTGCGCATCTTGAGGCTCAAATGCCGACACTCGGTTCGCCTGAAGCTCGAGCGGGAATCCTGTACCCGTTTTCTCCGTTTCCCTGAATTTGCGGAAGTCATCATCGGGCTCATTCAGTTCGAGAAATCTCCCCGAGTCTGAAGCCAACCAACCAATATTTTACGTTTTTTTTCGGTAATGAACAGCTAGCGAAACTCGAGAACGCATAGAATTGGCCGGCGGACGCGAAATGCTTTCCGTGAAGAAGAGCTCTTCGGTCAGAGCAAAGAAACAACGGAAAGATCCGCCTAATCTGATGGATGAAAAAATTCTTTACGACAACGAAAGACCCGACCCAATCATGAGATCGCACCGGCAGCAAGAAGTGAACTTCGATGAAATCGGTGAGTTTCGAATTCTTTCCCCCACTCGTCCAATTTGTTATTCCTCTCGAGCAGGATGGGGAGCACTAATCTGGGTGAGGGTCGAGGGAAAAGATTCGCTCAATGAGCCCAATAAGTTTTCGACAAGGAAGAAACACGACCTCGCTCCCAACAAAATCAGCCCCGTAACCTCTGGCAGGAACGATCCCCTCGAGAAGGTGTACCGGTGGCCCCCCGGCAGCAAACTTCCGCCAGATCATCCCGAAGCTTCCATTCATCAGAGGGAATCCTAATCCTGTCTCAAATCCAATCCTATATGGAAGGATCCCTCAAGTTTTCAATCTGCGTGATCGATGTTTCTGAATATCGTCAGAGGGGAAATTGCGGGATAGGGGAGGGGCTTCCGCAAAAGATCCGTGACGCGTCAAGGCGTCGGTCGCTTGTGGGGTCAGATGCCTCGACGGCGCCAGAGGGGCTGTTAAGCCTTGCGACTTTTCGCTCCTCGATGGCGATTAACCCGAACGGTGATTTGTTGCAGACGAAGGACTTATGGCGCCTCCTTCACCCTCGCCGGCTCCTCCTCAGTTATCGGGAGGCTTGAACGAGATACAAGAAGAGGACAGCGAATGCTCAGAGCGTAGGGAGCATTCCCCGAGGATCGTGTCCGATCTCTTGGGCCCATCGCCGCCGCCCCCACCACCGACTCTGAATGGGCATTCGATCAATGGTAACCGTTCGATCACGTTCAGATCAAACGAAATCAACGAGTCTTCAAGCTGTTGTTCCCCTCGGCCTAGAGAGCTGGGCATTGCTTGAATCCATATAAAGTTTCGGAAGAGGCTCTCATGCGTATTACGATCGACATCCGCCCTAAAGTTTCGCATCGATCCTTCAGGGGGTTCCTCTATGAAAAGTCTGGACGAGCAGTCGTGTAGCTCCTCATGCGACACGTCCCAAGCCGAGGAGAACGTGGCTCGGGTCATCGGAAGTCTCCCAATCACGCAATACATGGGCTCGCCGAGGAAATTAGGTCGTAAGGGTCTCGGCTTGCCCGGCTATCCGCAGCGTGTACGCGTGGAGAAGGAGAAGAAGGATGAACTCGGGGATCCGAACGTCGAGTTTCACGCCGAGGAATATGAGCTCAAGAAAGAAGAAGAAGCGGTGCATCTGCTCAGCGAACTCTTGAACGGGAGCGCGAAAGACGAAGAGGACGGGGATCCGAACGAATTCAATGATCTCGAATACAGGTAAATGAACGGAGTAATTCACGGCGCCTGACCCCTATTCCCGGACAGGCCGAGCATTCCAAAGTGCTCGATCTCCTTCTTAGCCTCGCACAAATGGGAGCGCGGCTTCGAGTAGAATTGGAGGCTGAATGTCAATATTCTCGGAACGGATCGCGTCGTTCCAAAGCGGGCGCTTTAATTTCATCCGCTCGCGAATTCCAGATTATCGTATCGACCGATCGCGGTCCAAGAGGATCGCTCCGAGAAAACCGAAAAGAATTCCTGTGGGAATCAGAGATCGTCTGCTGTTTCGAAGGACGAGCAGCCAGCGAAGGCTTTGCAAAAATCGACGTCGATTCCAGCTTCAGTGAAAATCAATGGAGGGACCACGGCGTCTCAAGACGAGCCCGTGTATGCATCAGTGAGGAAAGTCAGCGACAAGGCGTCTCCTTTGGAATCTTCTGAGACTACGAGCAATAAGGAGATGGTGATGCTCCACGAGAGGGTGAGCCCCCGAATGTCCCGAAATCATCTTCTGCTAGATATAATTCTCGAAGGTATACTCAAACGACCAATCATTCTCTCGAATCTTCACCTTATCCTTACATGGCTCGTTTCTCCTCCAGGTACAGCAGCATTCGCTACAGGTGGACATGGTTGGAGAACTTGACGATTTCCTTGGCATGGACACTTCGATGCGGAATCTAACTGTGTCCCCATCTGTCTCGAACACAGACGACTGTGAGACAGTCGATTCGGACTGCACTGAGGGTGGGTTGGAGCTACGCCGCGAAATTCCCGGTGTTGGTTCCCGGGAAGAAATCTTGTCAGCATTCGATGAGGAACATCCGATCGATAAACTCCGAATGAACTCATCCGAAAAAACATTTTTACCCCGCAGATCCAGATGAGCTTTTGTCGATGGCAAACTCAGGTGGCTCTCGGCTTATGCCCGTATTAGAAGATGGATTGTCTTCGGGGCATGCTAGCGAAAACGAGGATGAAGATACAGGTACAGAAGGAAAAAATCTACTCAAGAGAAAGTCCTCCAGGGGTCGAAGGTCGACCTCTAGTCGGAATACCTCGGTGTCCAGGTCCTCTTTCCCGCTGCAGTCGAGACGAACTCGAATACAGTCTGGTAATGAAAAAGATCATTGGATCGGAAGTTTTGAAATGCGCTGCTCTTGAGGCACGACGCTGCTATTAGCACAGAGCTCACGGCTGCTAACAACAATCCGCACCAATGAATTGACACCGACTAACAGGACGCGAAACTTGGATTAGCTGAACGCAAACGATGATATCCGCCCCTTATAACCTCTATTCGGTCCTCTGTTGTGCCCTGGATTCACCCCACAAATTCCATGGAAAACTTAATGGAAGGGAACTTCGAGTAATTTTCTTTCTCTTCCTTCCTCCAGAATTGATGCCTTCCTCAGCTCCTCTGCTTATGGCTGGACACAAAGGTCCGGTATCAGATGCCATCCGTGAGATTAAGCAGGCGATGCAACATTCGAAGGCACAACAGCTGCAAAACAAAAAGTCGACCGGTGATAGTGGTTGCGTTAGTCCAACCGAAAAAAGTCAAAAAGACTTCCGGGACAGATCCTCGTCGCATCAGCAGCAACAACAACATTCGCAACCGGTTTGGGGTCAAAGGTTAGGCGGAGCCTCATTCTACAGCCTCTCTAGCATTGAGAATACGCTCCGAACCCCCGTTGCGTCAATTCAGCCACTGTCTCGTTGTCGTGGCGATCTCGATCTTCATTATTCTTGTTTCCAGGTTGAATAGCTCTGGGCAGACCGGGAACAACAGCACGGGCACCAATGACTCGACTCAACAGGAAGATGGTAAGACCGAAGCTCCTTGTCCGAGCAGTCGCCTTTCGGGGGGTTTTATCACTTGCTCATCTCTCCCCGCCTCGCGTGAAGCATACATATCATCGGGACTTATGCACAGTCTTCCTTGCTTCCTAGACTGCGACACCGATCAGGAGACGGACCGACTTCTAGGAGAGCAGAGATCAGAGGACAACGGCTTCTACGACGAGAAAAGTCAATCTTCTACGGGGAATGTTTCGTCTAACGGCAAGCAGAAGAAGGTTAATAGCAATTCAAACAGCAGTGCCAATTCGTCGAACACCACGTCCAAGGAAGGTGAGCATCGATATCACGCTATACCGTCGTGCGTATCGTAATCGAGTCATCTCGTAGGGCGAAAGGTCTTCGAATTTCGTTTTATCCAGATCTATCCGATCTGTCTGTGACTTAATACCTCGGAGATCCTACCAACACTTCATGAGCCCTCTCTCGCCCGTTATCACCCACAATCTCATGCAAAAAGCAGAGAATATGCTCCGAGCTTATCTATGTAGGTACATCGATGAGCGCGACGAGGTCGGAGTCCTCGAGGCTCTCGATCCGAGCGATTAGACTCGTTCATGTCAATGAGTCGAAAACACCATCCCATTCACCATGGCTTATTTTATACCTTCGTCTTTCCGTTGTGTATTCGACATGTTTTTCCAGCGGGTCTCTCTTCTCGAGTCCCGTGGGCGTCTCCGTACCATCCTTGGGGTAAGAGAAAAGCCTCGCCGTGATTTCTATGGGCTCGCAGTTTTTGGCCGCGGGGAGCGAAGTTGACTTTCGTAATAAGATCTCGAGGATGGATTTCTTCGGAGACATTTTATTTTGAGGGAGCTCCGATGGAGTCGATTCACGGCCCTGGTGGGGAGCGATCGGGAACTTATTGAACCTCGGCAGAATATTGTAAGGAGCATTGATCTGACAGGTCGCAGTCACTTGAATCAGTCAATTCATCCTTTCTTGGTCCTTCTTTTATACATATTTTGCTCCTCCTGAGGAGACTCGGTCTCGCCTCTCAGAATAATTTTCTCTCCAACGCCCCTCCCCCTTCCCCGAGATTTCTGCATCAGACTATTTCAATCTCCTTCAGCGCTCTGAGTGAAGAGCGGCTGGTCAATTGCTTTCCCGATGTTTCCTTGTCGCCCTTGCCCTTATTCGTGTGATTTATGTGCGTGGTTGGGGGTTTTCGTTGTTGCTCTCCATTGAGAGATACGAATACACAGAAGAGCTGACTCGTTGGGCAAGGAAGAAAAATGACGAGCGGATTGAGTTTTGCTTGTGGTAACACGTCTTGCTATTCTTTGTTGCACACTCGCGCACTCCACAACGCATCTGTTCATCGATGTGTCCCAATCAATGGTGAGTTTGCCTGACACTATGTTGCAGCAACTAGAATCGCACTGCTTTGCAAGGTTTTTTAGGTTCACTTCCTGCTGGCCATGACCTGTTTGGAGCCCCCGTAGCCTGACTGAATATAAGACACGCGGTATTGAGGGAAAACTCGAATCCGATAAGGCGTCTCTGTTCTCGAAAGCAAATGTAGGGAATTTCTGTCGACTCTTGCGTAGCTCTGGCTTATCGAGTAATCTCATCGGAGTCAATAGTTTAGGTTCTGATTGAATGAGCGAGTTCAGAGTTGAAGTGATCTACCTAATTCCTTATCATTGTGCCGGAGGTGAATTGCTCACCGAAAAACTGGCATCGGCACTTGCAGAAACTGTGTCAGAGCGAGTGTCCTTTCCAATGCTGTGCAGAGTTCGATTGGGTCGGCTTGATGTTCGTGCTCCACGGAATCGGTCCGATATGCTGGGAGCCGCTCTGCCGTGGAGTCGAATTGTTGTTCACTCATGCTGACAGTGATCCCCGTGATTTTTCAGTGATAATTCACGACCCCTCAGTGCTCATTGAGGGAGTTTTATTTCGCGCACGGTACCTTGGCTCTACTCAGCTGGTCTGTGAAGGTCAGCCTACGAAGGCAACGCGTATGATGCAGGCCGAAGAAGCCGTCGCTAGAATTAAGGTGAGTTCGAGAGAAGCATTCAAAGTACAGTCATGCTGTCCCCGATCCCAGGTTCCCCATGCATACGTAGTTCCTGGATATTATGCTAGAGCGGAAACATCGAAAATTGGTTGTCATCCTCTGACGCTGCATGACTCCGCAAACTTTCGTTCTCCGTTCGGACGAATCGGAAAGACAAAAACGCACAAATTGTGCATCCAGCACTTTTTTCTTTCCTTTTGACCTTTTCCCCCTCTCGGTTCTGGGGAACAAGAACCGACGACGAGTTTGAATTTCAACAGAACTCGTGACTAACTTTGTGCGTTCGCTTTCTTTTACGCTGCTGCGTGAAGTCACTGGTAAGAGTCTCTCACTCACGGTCGTATTGAAATCATTAGACTTCGGACGTTGATGAGGACAGCAATCCGAACAGAACGGATGAACTCCGATGCAGTTTCCTTGAAAATTCGTACGAGAATGACTGATTTTTTCGTAGGGCGACCAGCTAATCTGAAGCGATCGCCTCATAACCTTCATAATTGACGTTCCTTGTGGAGTTCCTAACCTCGTTATTGATTATTAGACTTGTGTAAATGTTTCACCCGGCTGAGAAACTTCCGCGAACTGAGCAGACTCCCCACAGCAGACATTCTAACCTTTCGTTTATTGGAACTTAGGCGCCGGAAGGAGAAACTCAGCCATCGACGGAAGTAGATCTATTTATTTCCACGGAGAAGATCATGGTGTTGAACACCGATCTGAAGGAGATCATGATGGACCATACGCTCCGAACCATTTCGTACATCGCCGATATCGGAGACCTCGTTGTTCTCATGGCACGTCGGAGGCCAGGTGAGATCGATGGTATGTTTCCACCAGGCGTTTTTGTTTCCTCCTCACCGCGAGATAATCCTTAAGACCCAGATCACTCGAACAGGTGATGTCTGTGGAGCCGGGGTCTATTTTCGTTTTTTTTTCAATTCTACTGACGCCTGCTCTCAGACGAATCCGAACTCAATCTCTTCCCTGCATATTCCACAGACCTTCCGGGAACGTCTCCTCCGCCGCACTGTTCTTCCCAACAGTTGGACCTGAAGAAAAAACCTAGAATGATCTGCCATGTCTTCGAGAGTGACGAAGCTCAATTCATCGCTCAGAGCATAGGCCAGGCATTCCAGGTGATTAGAATGATTTCCCTTACACAAGAGTCATGGAATACTGCAGTCAAAACATCCTTGATTCCGGATAATCAAGGAGTCAGGAGGCGAACACGGCAAAGTCCGATGTATCTCCGTGCGTGAAATTTCGAAGAGCCAATTTCTGGATGAATAACCCCCTCTATTGCAGGTCGCGTACATGGAGTTCCTGAAAGCAAATGGAATCGAAGACTCGTCCTTCATCAAGGAGATGGACTATCAGGAGGTGCTGAATTCGCAAGAGATATTCGGCAACGAGTTGGAGATGTTTGCGAAGAAGGATCGCCAGAAGGAGGTTGTCGTTCCCAAGCAGAAGGGGGAAATTTTGGGCATGGTGATCGTCGAGAGCGGCTGGGGCTCGATGTTGCCAACCGTCGTTATAGCCAATATGTCGGGGAATGGCCCAGCCGCGCGTTGTGGAAAGCTCAACATCGGCGATCAAATCATCGCCATAAACGGGACTTCCCTTGTTGGCTTGCCTCTGCCCACCTGCCAGACCTACATCAAGAATACGAAGCAGCAGACCGTTGTCAAGCTGACCGTAGTGCCTTGCGCGCCAGTAGTCGAGGTGAAGATTAAGCGGCCCGATACGAAATACCAGTTGGGATTTTCGGTTCAAAATGGCGTCATCTGTTCCCTACTCCGTGGAGGTATCGCCGAGCGTGGGGGTGTTCGCGTAGGACACCGAATAATTGAGATCAACGGCCAGAGCGTTGTGGCTGTTCCTCACGAGAAAATTGTTAACCTTCTTGCTACTTCTGTTGGCGAGGTGAGCTTCCAATACAGTGCAAAGTACCCCCGCTGCCCGTCTCCCCTCGCCCCCGGCCGGGGCCCATGAATTCCGAGAACCCTCTCACTTCGAAATCCCTTCGACCCTATGCCTCTGGTGAAGCCGATGGAGAGGAGTTCTAAATCGCACCGTTCTCGTTCGTTTCAGATTCATATGAAGACGATGCCGACCTCGATGTTCCGCCTCCTCACCGGTCAGGAGGCTCCAGTCTATATTTAATATGGTGTCGATGGTCGACACCGAGTCCCGAATCAATGGATCTAGTCAGCACTAACAGATTGAGAAGACTGTCTCGACAACGGAGATGCCGGCTCGCCGCATCTCTTATCGACGTGCATTGAGTGATGCGCTTCATCTCATAATTTATTCACCAACATTCCTTCATCAATCCTACTACTACATACTCGATGATCCTTTTGCCACTGTTGCAACGATGGCCCAAGCAGTGTATTGTGTGTATAAGGCGATGCGTGGATGAAGTATTTATTAACATATTCATCGTGGATAGAGTACAGCTGAGAATAGTCATCCTAGCGTCTGCGACAGAGGCACCCGACCACTCCCCCATTTATCCACCAGAGAGGAAACGCTCTAGTCATCCATACCCTAGGCATACATTTCTTTCTGGCACTAACATATCATGCTTAGGCTAAAGAAGGTAACACGGTGATTTGTACGGTCCCGGTCTCGATGATAATGACGACGGATTAACTGCGGAAACGATACCGGAGGCGATGAGAGTCCGCCGAATATTCCTCTCGACGGCTCGTTCTGCATTGTGCTATCGGTCGAGGTGGGGCACCACGGAAGCCGCTGTCTGACCTTTTAGTCAAGCACGCAACGGCACCTGTGGAACCTCACGTTCCCCCGCCTCTCCGGAATTTCGAGCCCGACCAATTGTCGTAAAATGGCTCGATGTACCGTTCTTCGTGTTGAGCTGTCGGCTCATGCTATGGAGCGACGATGAGGAGCTACTCCTTGGAGAGAGCGAGCGGGGGAAGACGAACGGCTCGATTGCCGACCTCGACCCGATGTAAGCCGACGGATGTTCGAGTTATTCTCTTTTTCAAAATCTTTCCGCATTGAATCGATGGGAATCGAGACTTGAGGGCCCGATAGGTTGGTAACTCCGAGCCTAAACCTTCGAAGAGCACGGAAAACCAACCATTCATTATAAATCCACAAAAAGAAGATCTCAACAGAAAAAGAATGACGACCTTGATGAGGATGGTCACTTTGATCAGCTCGATGAAGAACATCGCTGCTACTATACAGTTTGAAATTCTTATAGCATCTTCATCAATACAAGTACTCCAACCATCATTGAACGCTCTATTACATTCATTATGGAAACGCTGATACTTCTACCACAAACTACTACTACGATGATGATGCCCTGAGTGCCTGTACTTCGTATCTCCGTTGAGTGGTGATCGACGGACGTATAAAAAGTCTCATCTAATTGTCTTGTCGGTTTAGCACGAATTTTATCCTGATATATATTGTAACTACCATAATTTCCCTATGGAAGACTATCCTTTGTTTTCGTCATCCGAATCTGTATTATCTTGAGCGGTGAGAGGGAAGCATCTTCCAAGTTCGGAATGAATCGTGTTACTCCCTGCCGTCTTTTATCCTTAGCCTTTTATCCTCGTTTGTATTCCCCTGGCCTTAGGGGCCGAGAAGTCGGAGTTCCCCATGAGTTTGTGATACTTTATACTTGCTCCTCGACGTCGAGCCGCTCCCATTTCCAATGATTGACACTTCGCGGAAGAGTCACCTGAACTCGTCTCTTTTCGGCTTTTGCATCTGTTTGGCTGTCCTTCTTTTCAACAAGCGGCCTCCTCTGTTTCCGCATCCGTTTCTCTGTTTCTCCCGGTTAGCCATTTGAACCCAGGAGAGTGATCGCCACGGGAATGATAACGATCATCGATCACGAGTCTTGATGATGATCGAGCTCTATGGCGATGTCTGTGGACGGCACGCATCACACCTACTAGCAGCTTCCAACTCCGAAGCTTGGGGGATCGTATGTTGTTCTCGACGGTATAGCATTAATGACCAAAAAACCCTTAGATTCGGGAATGTTTACCCTCAGGTCTGAAATGCTGGGAATTTCGCTTTATCACTTGATAAGCGTAAATCACCTCGCGAATCACCCTGGACCGTGATCGTCTGACGATAGTCGTTGTTCTGCCTGAAGCGACGAACTGGATCGCCTTGTATTCGGAGTTGAATCTTTCCGCGTCTAGTGACTCATTTGAATCTATGCATGGACTGAAGCGAGTTCCCACTCACAGAGCGAGAGGAAGACATCGGGATCACTCGATTCCCCAACCATGGCGGGCGCAGAAAATGAAAAAGTTTGAATTCTGCTCTCTAGAGCGCCTTCCGTACCCCGAGGAGGAAACATTCGATTTGCGTGCACGGGAAAATTTGGATTGGAAAAAATTATGTGAAAATTGCGAAAAATTGACGCGACGAGGCCGACGACAGACTCGCCTAGGAACAAACAGTTTTATAGACGAGAAGACGCGGAATCCGCGAAAATGTGCATAAAATCCGAGTGCGAGAGTCTGCTGCTTGTGAACCGAGTGAATGATCAAACGAGCGAGCGAGAGATCGAGCAGGCAGGGGCGGAGACAGCTAGTGCTGGGTATGTTTGCAATGTGACTGTAAGTTATCATCATGCTTGGCCTGGGTTGACTTTGCTCGGGCATTTTGTACGGGAACCGGATCTCAAACCCTAGTCCAGCACCGAGGAAAGAAGGAAAGCTGGGAGTCGCAGATTTCGGATCGAGAAGAACCCAAGCAGCACTTTCCCGATGAGATGAGTCATATGAGGCAACATAGCGAACTTGAGAAACGAGGAGCAGAGACTGCGATAGACGAGCGATGAGAGGATTGAGAAGCTGTCGACCGAATATAGAATAAAACCTAATGATGATGACGACGATAATACCTATAACAATAATAACAATTACACGACGATGCCTAATAAGTTAAACTTGTTTTGAATCAGAGTACTGTAACACTGATGGATTTGAATAAATAGTATTTCATATAAAAAAAAGTCTCGGCCTCTCCATCAATTGAGATCCTCTATCGAAGCGAGCATTTCTTGGGCAGAATCACGGGGTGATGCGGAGCGAGCCCGCACCGTACTCGAAACAAGATATATCTGGCGGGACTAATAGGTTGCCATTTTGAAGGGGCACGGTACGAGGAGGAACGCCCGTTCGACACAATAAATTGTTTATGATTCTCGCTGATATCCGACTAATGGGAGAAGCTTCTAACCTACAATGTGTGCGGGCTGTGTGGACAGATAGGGCGGACTTTCTCGCTTGTCTGAGTGAGTGATGCCTTCTCCATCAACGACGTCCGACGATCCAGGACAAATCGTCGACGCTTTCGCACCTAGGCCCATGGATTTCCTCCGCAGGCGTTCGCGTCCACACTCACAGACTATAGTGGAGGCTCTGTCGAGAGTTGAAACTGGCAGCAACTCACTCTGTATCTTTTGAGCCAACCTTCGCAGCATTGAGATACCAAGGAGGTCGACGACAATGAGATCGCGCAAGAAAAGTCCAGTGCGAGGCATTCGTTCGCAGAGGACGAAAATTCTGTCGGGATTTGAGCCACCTGCGTGGTCTCACGAGGGACCCGCTCGGGCCTGGAGTGCCCATCAACTCCCGAGGTTGACGAGCGCTCGACTGAGCCAGCTCTCGAGGGTCCGACCATTGAATGAGAGCAATTATAATCCGTGCGAACGTCCAAGGATCGAACGGTTCCTCCGATCAGCTACATCTCAATCCCAATGTGCATATCCCAGGTCCATATCGATCATCGCCAACCTCGTATCCACAGGCCCGGGGAGCCTTCCGCGATATCCGGGTCCTGAGTTGGCAGCCGACGCGATGTTCCTAGGCTGAAGCTGGTCGAGCATTCCCCTCCGCGCGACGATGCGGCTCGGGTCCTTGGTGGGGCGTCGGCGTCAATTCTGCAACGACACCTTCCGGGGTCCTGTATAGAGCAGAATCCGATCCCGGTCACCGACCTCAAAATCACTGACCTTATTGTCCCGGGTCCTTCCAAAATTGAGCGGTGGAGAGAGCCAGACGTTGTTGCTTGCGGGTCTGGCGGTCCCTTCTGGCCGACACACCCTCAAGGAACGATAGCTGAGATAATATCTGCACAAGCTCTCCCTGAACGATATTTCCACGAATAAATTTTGGAGCTACACCGATAGCCCAGATTCCGGGCCCTTTGAGGGAATCTCGGAACGATATCGGAAACAAGTATCGCTCAGGAAGGGGAACATCAAAGAAGATCTTTCCCGATGGGAATTTCAAGATACCGCACGTAGCTCTCCTCTAGAGGATCTCAAACCCCCGGGCAGCCAGCCCCGACTCACCGGCTACAGGTAGAAAAAACCAACGGTCAATGTGCTTTCGATCAGCCGCTTGGGACGAGTCGGGTTCTGGACCAGAAATCAGCGACAAGAGCTGCGATTCCCTCAGTCCTTCGTCTGGTTTTCCTCTTGTCTGCCGGGAGGCCTGCGCAAACGATCTTGAGCTTCCGCCGAGTACGAAAAAAGCTCGCGTTCAATACGTAGGATGCCTCCGAGACCGCTTCCGACGCGGCCCGATTTAATATTCATCACAGTCACAGGCAGGCTCATCCGTCAAGCGAAGATACTCCGGAAGAAATTGCTGTAACTTTACAAGGAGCAATATGCCGGAGCCTCATCCAACTCGCGGCGGGGCTCTGAGCTGTCTCAGGGCAAAGTAAACACCGAGGGATTCAAAATAGATGCATAGAGTTATTTCGGGTACGACGATCTCTGTTTACACGGTTCCCGGACTTAACCCCTCTCGAGACCTCCTCCGAATCATGAGACCGACTTACCTGCCGTACCTCACCATTGATTGCTGATATTCCAATTACGATCGTGTACGAATGTTGATACTCAGAACTTTTTGTCGCTTTTTGGATCCACAGGCTCATGTTGACAGCGTGCCCATGTTGAATCATCCGATGTCAATTATCATCCGGCGTCCTCGAGACCTCCTGGTACACTTCTTGCGACCCCCGGTAGCCAACCTCTGCTCTAATCGGAAGGTATTTGCTTCCGTATTCGTTCCCGATCGAGAGCCTCCCGATTGTGTCCAGCGACGTTTGCTAAGAAATCTGACTCGAGCGTTGATGTCTCGACGTGAGACCTTTCTAGTTCTTATACCGTGAGAGAAGCTTCAGGATTCCCTTGCGCGAAACCCAGGTCCAATGTTCGGCCGGTCATCGTCCACGTGATCTGCTCCGGTA